TTCCTACCCATCCGATTTGTTGAAGTCATATGTTATGTCCATTTTCATTTTCTTATATGACTGTATAAAATATCTAATAATAGTAATGATGGTTCAGAAATGTTGATATTTAGGAAAAATTCGGAGCTTATACATCTATCATAAAGTTCGTTGAAAAGACAAGTTATTATTAGTATATATTATATATTGTTAGTTGTATATTAGTACAATTTCAGCATTTGGCATACAAATCTTATATGAAAACTATGGGTAAGTAAAATATAATAGTTAAACTAACAGATGGATAAGGGATATTTGTAAATGGAGGGAGTTCAGCAAAGGTCAGGCACTCTTGGCTGTTTCCGTAGATTCTAGTTTCCATCTTAATCCTTATTTCTTCTTTAGTTAGCAATAATTATTTTTTGTTGTTTACATTTAACCACTTTTTGTTAATAATTAAAATGTGTAATTTTTTTAAATAAACAAAATTAAAGATATTTTAGAGGAGGGAATTTTTGAACATTTGGCAATACCAACTATTTTAAAGGGAATAAAATACCTACCTGATATTAAAGATCTCTTGATTTTACATAGATATTATGAATTTAATCAAAATCATTTATGTAGTGTTTTCTCACCAAAAGAATAGACTGCTGAGAAGTGGCACTAAACGACATTAAACCATCAAACTTTGTAGTGTATCTGGGGATAACTCTGGACTGACACTTCCGTCTAACAACTCACATCCACAAAAGACAAGATCGGTAAGAAGACAGTCCTACCGTCTGGACCACCTCCTTACATCCTCAAGTAAAGGCGTATTAATTAATTGTAATTCAAACTCAAGTAAAAAAAAAAAAGATAAAAAAAAACAATCTACATGCGTACTAAGACCAGTACTCCTGTATGGCACACCATTGTTTACACATCTAACTGAAAACACGTATCGACATCTCCAACAATTTGAAAACACTATGCTTAGAAACATAGTCACAACAATGATGTGGAAGAAAGAAAAATCTCTGACCCACAATGTACCGGATATTCCAATAATCGCAGAATTTATCAGGAGGAGACATGTTAAATTCCTGGACTCACTCAATTATTTCCCTAACTCATTATTCTCAACTCTAACACTAGCAACCTCCGCCAGTGTGATGACACAAAAGACCAAGGGAAAGTGACACCATGATTGTTATAGTGCATAGAGTAGAGTATTAGTCTTTGATTAGTTTAATTTTAATACACAAAAAGGACGTGCACCAACGCCTTTTAAAATACTTGCAATTTAAGACTGCAAGAAAACCCAATCTCAAAATAGCTTTAAAATGCAACCCCATTTCATAAAAAAAGCTAAAACTCCGATATAATATACCCACTAACATATAATTAAAATTGAAAGTTTGGGAAAAAATAATAATTAGAGCCAATCTTGAAAAAAATTGTAAAAATGTGTAAATTCGATGACATTAAGTGTCACTTCCAGTTGGTCCATTTCGGCAAAAAAGTTGTAACATCTGAGGCATATATCTATCTTAAATACCTAATTTCAGTTTTGTAATACTTTTGGTATTTCAGATAGGCTTTTCACATGCAGAGACCATTTTGCAAAACTTGTTTTGGAGTTATGGAACCTAAAAATGTTTATTTTCAATTGAAAACTCGGATTAAAACATTTTCAAGATTAAAATATTTTCCGTTACTGTATATTTCATATAAAAGCAAGAAAGAAAAAAAAAGTAATTATACATTAAATATAAAGTTATCATTTCAAATGTTATTGTTAAATAAGTAAAATTTTCAAATTTTCAAATAGCCTTCCGGTCACTAAACTACTTCTAAAAAACTAAACTAAAACGTCTTTTTTTTAATGATAAACAATTGGTTTAAGAAATGCCAATAACAACATTGTGCCATTTAAAGAGTAGCCAAGTTATGAGAGAATATATTGTAAATCTGTTGGCAAAACAATTAGTTTCTGAAGCATGAATGAAAATTTTGAAGAATAAAATTTTTTCATCATTCAAAATAAGCTTTGAAAATTGACGAAAAACTAAGGATAGTGATGGTGATTTAAAAAAAAAAAATAATGAGTTAGAGGACATAAAAATCAAACAAAATCTTTCCATAACAAAATCTTGAGGAATCAATTAGTGTTCATTTATTATTACAACATACATAATAGAACATATGAATATTCATCCAGAACTACAAATTCTAAAACAAATCGTTTGAAAATTCATCAAGTTATGTCATTAATCTCAATCTCAATTAATTAAATCTGACTATCATAAACAATTATAAACTGAATGAGAATACACTTAAGATAGAGCAGTATTTTTCTATCTGGCTGTTATTTAAAGATTAGCTGAGGAACTATTGAATAATGGCATGCATAATAATCAGGATTTTGGATATGGTAATAATAATAAAATTTTTATTTTAAGAAAGTTTTGTTTAGTAACTTTGTATTGTGTGATTTGGTTTAAACTGATAGTGATAACAAGAACAGATTATGAAACTAATCCATGACCAAAAGGCAATATCTTATGGACTTCAAAATATTTTCACTTAATTTTCACCAATATAAATAAAAAATTAATTAGTTTTCAAATTGTCAAGTTTTTTGTATGTAATCCATTATAAACCTTAATTAAGATTCTTTTAAAAATAACTATAATAAACCAAATTTACTATAATCAAAAGTTACATTAGTTTAAAAATAATACCTTTTATTGCTATGAATGAAGAATAATGCAATTAAAGCTGAGCATCTTCATAATGACCATCGATCTGTACAGAAAATCCATTATAATTAAATTATGAATTAGTATTTTTTATTTTTAAAGATCCGCCCGTTCACAACACATGTAAGCGCTATTTTAATGATACATGTAGTTATTAAATACAATACTAAATATAACAGATATTTGCAATCAATTTTATGCATCCCAAAAATATAAGTGCATTCAGAGTGATCTTTTATCTAGCAATTTGTAAACCAATATTTAAAGAAATATTGATGTTGTATTCCACGGACGGATCTTTCAATATAATTTTTTTTTTCCAAAAAAAGAGTTAAATTTTATAAACTTAATCAATAAAATGTAAAATCTCGTTACAACAAATTTTTGTTCTTTTAATTTTATAGAGCAGGGTGATGAGCATTATCATGATTGAGTGCAAATATAAATTTGGGAGCATATTACAATGATGAAAGTGTAAATGTTGACCAAAAATAATGCAAAAGATTTATGCAAACATTGCAAAGATGGCTTGAATATTTCCAATATTTACTGTGTTAAGCTCTATTTATTAAATCTTATTTTAAAAAGAACAAAAACAGAAAGCTTTTTTTAAATACAAGTATAAATGTTATAACGAGATTTCACTACCTTCCTGTTTACATTTCAACATGAATAAAACTTTTCAAGTATACAGGAGGGTAAGTGAAACAACTAAGCTAGGATTTGGGCATATTATATTCTATTTTAAATTTTTTTGTGTAATATTATTAACACAGCTCCTAAATATAAATCTATTTTGATAGATAGTTATTAGTGTAAGTAAACTCAATTCATGACAGTGGTATTAATCTTACCACAAGTCAATTGTATCATGGCACCCCAAAGAAAGGATTCTATATTTTTACATATTAACTTTATATTCCAATGAATAAGAACACATAATATACTTATAATATTAGTAATAAAAAGAAGTTTGAAAGTAAAATCTTTATGTAAATAAATTCTTTCTAATCAGCACATAGAATATTTATTACATTTAGCAAATTAAATAACTAAAAAAGAAAAAAATCACTAGCTGATCATTGAAATCATACACATATAAAAACTAACTGGTTAATATCCACCGAAACCGGGTCATTAATGATTGTCAATTTTAAATTCATGTAAATACAAGGAATATCAGTGCAGTTTGCTGTGCACTGTAAATACTCTTATGCAATAAACAAATAAATAAATTACTTCCTTTTTAAAATAAAATTATAGAGCAATGGTCATCAACAACATAGGCGCAGACTTTGGGGGAGATGAGGGAGGCGATTGCCCTCCCACCAATAAAAATGGAGACGGTGTGAGAATATGGTTTCACATCCCCTCCCCCAATGTTTGGAAGAAAAAAATTAAATCAATAACAATTAATCTACATGAGTGAATAATAAATGTAAACTAAAATCAATTAAGAAAATAGGAAAAGTCGACTAGATGGCTATGTTAAGGCCTAGAAGTAGGTAATCAAGAATTTTACCATGCCTGATGTTCCTATTATTAAAGTTTTACTTCTTTTTTTTGTTTTTGCAAAATTAACTACGGCCAAGAAGACCTATTTTACGTCAAATTTAGTATTCCCTTATTCAGAGCATTATTCCAGCAGTCTCTACAAACTAAAGCAGGCTTGTTGGATTGGCAAGCTCTTTAGTCTTGGGGTCAAACACCCCATCATTTTCGAATAAACGGAATCTTAGCTCACAATCCTGTTTCACCAACAAGTTATATGATATGATGCTTCATCCTCTTGACCACAGAACTTATAAAGAGACGACTCCATTAGCCCGAGTTTGAACATATGATAATTCAGCTTACAGTGACCAGTATATATCTCTGTAATTTTCTTGAGAGATCTCCTGCTCAAGTTTAAAAAAAAACATTTGTTATGCTCAGGCAGGTGAATCGAATGACACCTTGAACGGGAAGAACAAAGTTGAAAAATGAGTGTTTTATCTGTTTTATGCGACGTGTTACAGATGTTCGGTATTCCGAATTTTTCCCATTCAGTTGTGATAATTTTTTCCATCAGTTGAGTAGTACAACTTTTAAATGCTACTCCCGATAGAGTAGGTTGGGATGGGAAGCAAAGTAAGTTACTGCCTAACTGGGATCTCTAGACTAATTAATCAATAATTCATAACTTTGGTTCTACTCAATATTTTCTTTTCATTTAAAACCTATATTTTAAGTCAACAAAACCTAAATATAAGGTCAAAATTTCAAAAGTCTACCATTAGCCATTGCCAAGCTTACCCCTGACAAAATTTTGTTGGAAATGCAGACATCCAGACAGACAAAAAATCTTTTAAAAGTGGATTTTGTGCCTGTAATGTTTGGAACGGAAAGATATCATGAAACAGGTTGATTCTATTCAATGTACAGACAAACCCTTTATTTCATTTATATAGATGATCTTTAATAACCTATAAACATATGTTTATTATTAACATTTATTATCAACATTACCCGAGATCTCTAGACAAATTACTCAAGAATTCATAAGTTTTGTCCTCCACTGTATTTTGTTTTAATTTAAAGCCTGTGTTTTAGAGGAGGTTCATCACCCCTCCCACAACCAGAATGGAAAGTCTGCGCCTATGATCAACAAATCCTTGTTATTTGTCTTCCTTTCTTTTTTAAGACGTTTTGGCTATCTAGAACCATTTTCACATCTGTAAAAATACATTTCTATCAATATAATATATATTAGATAGTATTTCAATTTTAACACCACAATTTTATATCTTTTAATCACCTTGTTGCCTTGTATCTACAATATAGAATATTTTTAATTTTAATTATAATTCATCTTCATTAAATTTTAAATAAAAATTGTTCACCAATAAATTCTATATAAATTTTTCTTCCCATAGGAAAATTTATTGATAATCATTGAACTATAATTAATCTTAGGGAGATAACAATTAGATGAATATAGGTATTTTTAACTATAATGAATTTTATGTCAATTAAGTCTGTTGTTCATGGCTATTTATGGGTGATAATTTAACCAATTTCAAAAATTAAATAATTAGGATTAGGGCCGGTAGGTGGAGTGTTTTATACTTAGATTTATTTTAAGAGAGGACATTTAGGAATAGACAATCTTTATTTAAAATTAGGAAGAATAAATGAAAACTAAAATATTGTAAATTATAAATAGTAAAATGATATATAACATACAGGCAAGTGATTAGATTACGTATGTTATAATTGAAATATTTCAATGAATGGACAGAAATGTATTTGTACAGACTTGCAAGATGCATTGGAGGGCTGAAATGTCATGAATAATAAATTAAAGGAATTTGTTAGTAACCATTTGGCCTATAATTTTATTTAAAAAATATTTTGGCACCAAAAATGGAAAATATGACTAAAACTTACTTTCTGTTTGGTGATTCAATAGTTATTGAATCACATTTGTCTATATTATTAAATATAAAACAAAATACATTTGATGAAAATATTAAGATGTCACCTATTGAATAATTAACAGACAATATTTTGGAATAGGTTAAACTCTAAGTATTCGTAATCGGTAATAAAATTAATGAATTTATTGCTCTGTTTTTCTCCTTTTTATTTTTTTAATTTTTCTTATGTTTATCGTAAAGGAGATGAAATTTTTTTTCTCATATCCATAATAAAGTTTAAAACACTACCTTAAAATAAAATTTTGACAAACATTATCCCGTAGGAAATAAATGTTAAAGAATTGGTACATATTTGCTACTTAAGAATTTTATTAAAAATACATTTACGTGGTATTTGAGGTCACTTTTACTGAGCAGTTACTATAGCTTTTAAACAATAAAATTGTACTACATATTTTAACTTTGAAGAGTAGGTATATTAAAAAATAGAAGTAAATTATCCTTTTTTTTTTTGCAACCACCCCATATGTTAACTTACTTATATTCCACAGGAGCAATCAGTCTTAGTTAAGGCTTGGGCTTGCCATTATATTTAAATTTATTTAAAATTTATACTATAAGTTATACGGCAATCCTTTATGCTACTTGTTTGATACTGACAAGAAATTTAATTAAAAACTGAACTTTATTTTTTTAATAATCTTCACAAAGTATTAATAAATATAATAAATCTGTAACTAGATGAAGGGACAAGTCAACCATATGTAATACTTTAATTTCGGTGTAATCGACCAGACTTTTTTTTTTTGTTTCAATTTTCCTCATCTGGCTGGTTGGATTCCATTTCCAACCTGAATCTTTCAGAAAAAATTCTTTGGCCTGAACCACAAAGGCAGTGACCGGTAGGGAGTAAGGAGACAAGAGGAGTCACCCAAGTAAACAAATCCAATAGAACAAAGAGTTGTGGTTGCTTTCTTTGTTTTCTTTTTGTAGCGTTTATTTGAACGATTCACTTAGCAACTCTTCTGGTCACTAATTTCTAGCTAGTCACTCCTTGTGTGGTTGCTGACATTAGGGTTACCATGGTATCGCACATACCCTACGAATTTGTTTTTTTAATGCTTCATAAAATATTAAACTAAATAGAAAATTAATATTATTTCATTCTTCCATATGGTCCCAATTCATTCTATCTACCAATTTATTAAATCATCGTTTATAGAAATGAGTACTATAATTTAAAAAACAAAAAAACTTAAACCTATAACTAACACATTTATTTGTGACAATTTTTTATACTTATACAGTTTTCTGTTATTAAAGAAAATTTCCAAAAAAAACTACAAAATCAAGAATCACTAACAGACCAAAGTTGTTGAACACAAGAGTAGGTGAAATCCTTTTCCTGAACGATGTAGTGAACATCATGTCTGAATAATGTACTATAAAGCTAGTTGAAAATTACAATCCTCAGTTTAATAAGGCATATAAAATCCTAAGACAAATATATGAGATTTTTGCTGTCCTAGTTCAAACTATTTTTGAATTTAAGAATAAAGAATTTAATAAAATACAGGATTCAGTTTTTCACTATCTGTAATATGTACTGAATTTAATTTAACACAGCAAATAAACTGCTTTTTAAATTAACTACTTAACAGGAGATTAGTATAAAAACCTTAATTATTTGTTTAAAAAAAACTGCTTATTAAGATACTTATACAAGACATGCAGTCTTGAAATTTGAATGCTCAAAACAGGAGTTACTATTTTCTAATTAATTTATTTGCAAATATTGAAGTTCTTTTCTTTAAAAAAAAAATAATGAACAACTTCTCTTAACTTCCAAAATTATAATAAATAAATGTAATTTAGACTCTATTCTTTTCTGGTATAATTTTTTTTAAATAATGGCTATATCAACACATACACATTTGCTTTCTGAAAGCTACTTTTTTTTTGTTTGATTGGGCATTTAATTCAATTCAGCATTTCTTAAATTTTTTTTTAAATGTTCCAGTTATCTTGTGCTCATTCCTAATCCTAACTGAAGTTATGACCAGATACTGAGCAATGATTCAGAAGATTTGGCTGAGTAGAATTTTAAAAACGTATTTTTCCACAGAGACAAAGATTAAGAAAAAGTAGGTGTTTATGATAACTAGATCCTATAAATTATGAATATGAAAAACCCCAAGGACTAAACAAAATATAAAGAAAAGAGGAAAATGGCCGAGAAAAAAGTCATGTATTCGAAAAGGAAAGTATGGGACGATTTCGGAAACAAGTTGGAGGAAGACACCCATGAAAACCAGAAGCTCTTCTACAGATGCCTAGGAAGAATGTGCAAAAAGAAGGAGCCTATCATAAAACATATCAAAGACAAAGAAGGCAATATGCTCACTAATAGGGAGGAAATGATGAATAGATGGGCTGAACACTTTGAGGAAGTGCTTAACAATAATATGAGGCAAATAACTCCAATAGAACAAAATACCCTCACCAATGGAATCTCCGTCAAGGGAGAAGATGATTTCATTGGAGATGAGGTAATACCAGTTGCTATAGATACCCTAAAAATGGGTAAATCAGCAGGCAAAGATGGATCACCTCAGAGATGATGAAGAATATGGGACCAAAAGATCAGGTCATATTTCAACACCTTTTAAAGTTAGGTTGGAAAAGAAAAGAGGTTTCCAAGGATTGAGAAATATCAATTATAGTCCCAATACACAAGAAGCGAGACTACAGAGACTGCCGAAACGAGGTATCTCATTACTCAGTGTATCTTGAAAGGTTTACTCTAAAATCCTGGAAAAGCGGCTAAGAGGATTTATCAAGAGTACTCTAGAAGGGAAATAATATGGAATCAGACCACACAAGACTAAATATTTGAGGCAACTCTCCGAAAAGGTCTTCGAAAAAAAAAAAGAAGTTTATACATGCTTTGTGGAGCTGACACAAGCATTGGACAGGGTCTCAGGAAGACCGATAATGTAATATATAATAATAAAGAGCGATATAACCAAAGCTCTGGAAGAGCAGGACATAGAAACAGGTCTGGCAAGGGGTATACTGAGTCTGTATAAAAAGCAAAGAAACGTGGTGAAACCACCAACCACTCATCCAAAGAGTTCAAGAGGAAGGAATAATACAGGGCTGTAGTTATAGCCCACTACTGTTTACAATGGTACTTAACATGGCCTTAAAAAGGGTATAGATGAGAATGAGGCCGTTTTGGCTGGGCCACAGAGAACTAACTCCAGTTTACCTCATGCTTCTTGCTGATGACATAGTCGTATTCAGGAATAATGGAAGAAATCTAAAAATTAAACCTCAGAATTTCTACATAAAGAATCGCAATTGTTAAACAAGGAGATTAATTCCGGCAAATCCAAAGTAATGAGGACAGGAAGGGAGGAAGAACGTGCAGACCGAATACTTTGACTAAAGGTAGGAGAGGTGGAACAAGTCAAGGGGGCGGGGTGGCCGAATAGGCTAAAGCGTGTGCACAGCACCACTAGTTGCCTGGCAACCGGATAACAGAGATTTGAGATGATATAAAAAGTACGAGTTCGCGTCCCGGTGCCGGAGGGGATTTTAAATTCCCCCCGCCCTCACCCCCCGGCCCGGGAAAATCCCGTATAGCCTATAAGACGAGGTAGGGAAGAACAAAAAAAAAAAAAAAAAAAAAAAAGGTGGAACAAGTCAGAAACTTCAGATACTTAGGGGTTCACCTCAATGAAAAGATTGGATAGATGGAGAAATCAGAGAGAAAATAAAATTGGCCAGAAAATGCTTCCATTCACTCAATACTGGTTTCCTGGAAAAGGAAGAGGTTTAAAAAGTGGTATATAAGACAACATTCATATCCCTGCTGATCTACCCCAGTGAGTCTTCAACTCAGACATTAAGATGTAGGAGCCAAATACAAGCAATGGAGATGAGGTACTTGAACAGGATAGAAGGAAAAAACAGAAGGAATAGAATCAGAAATACTACAATTAGAAGTACTCTGGAAATTAAACCGGTCACTCATATAATTGAAGAGTTGGTATTTCAGTCATGTTAAAAGAATGTAGGAGGAAAGAATTGCCAGGAAGACCGATTCACGTACAAAACAAGAATAGGTCAAAAGGAAGGTCCAGAAACACTTGGGAATGAGCAGTCCAGGAGGCATTCAGCAGTAGAGGAATGGACTGGAAGAGGCACAACCAACTGACACAGGATCGGAGCTCTTGGATCAGGCTCTACAAGCAGAAAACTCTCACATTGTTCCGTGGTAGAAGAGGGCATGATTAAGAAAAAAGATTATGAATATGGAACCGTTAAAAGTAAGAACTGAAAATGACCATTACTATCATTTTTAAAGTAATACTAATAATTTCATTGAAAAAACTCAAAAAATATAAAATTTAAAAAAATTGATAATTACACAACTGTACAGTTTATCAAAAAAATATATCAGATGGATCTTGTTATTTTTTTTATATTTTATCCCAATTTAGGCCCCTATTTCACATTGTTAGATTTATTTTTCAAGATACTTGGTAACTATAAATTTTTTAAAACCATTTTCAAATAAAAACGAATATTAACTTTTCTCCATAATTTTTATTTTGCCATGTGTCTCTGTGCCTATTTTTATAACAAAATTTAGCAAGTACTTATAATTTATGCAACATTCATTTAAATGATGGTTATTTGGTTTATTAGATGAAAAATATAATAATAAAGTTTATAAATATGATTCTGAAAACTCAAGATCTGAGGCACTGGCCCTGGACGAGCGTGTATGCCCATAGGCAGAATCTGAAGTGCCTTCTCCTGTAATGAAGTCAGCTACGATGAGAGCATCTTTGTTTACCGTGAGTGGGTTAGGACCGAGTTCTCCTCCTTTGCCATCTAGAGGTTTCCCCATATCCTTTTCTGCTAAACGCTGTTTAAGTAGCCTGATTTTCTCTTCTTTCTGAAAAAGAATTTATCAAATTGTAAGTATGAATGTATAGGTAATTTATTTATTTTTACAAAAATTCAATATAACATAAACTTTAACAAGCACTTAAATATTCATATTTATTTATGTTATTTTTACTCATTTTATATATTAAAATGAATGAATCTTTATTATAATTATTCATTGAAGGAAATAAATAAAAATTAGATTTATACTTCTAACTTACTGCACTAATTAACTTTTGTAGTTCTTCATTTTCAGCTAAAAGCTTTTGATATCTGTCTTCATCTTCTTTTGATATACCAACGTCAGGATTATACTTTGATTCAGCTTTATCCCTTGGATGTCTTATAACTTCAATTACCTATTGTAATTACAAAATAAAACACCAACTTAGTTATTTTATTTATTTTAAAGTATTTAATTTTTAGTATTTGTAGTGAAAAATATCATGAATCTGGTAGATAAAAATGCTTATGAATTGGATAGGGGCATCCTCTGGATCTATGCCTTGGTGTATATTCCATATTAGTTACATTTCTACATATATATCATGCACATTAAGTTTTATGTAGTATTAATGACTAGAAACCGAATTTTCGTGCAGTAAAAATCTGAAAAACATGCAGTAAAAACCTCAAAATGTGCAAAATCATGTAGTGAAAACCCAAAATATTTAAATTGTGTACTTAACATCTATATTTATTATTTATTTATTATATTAATTAGAGACCGGACTTCCATGTTATAGCACCATGTTATGTCTGTTTATTCAGTTACAACATATTTTGATGGATTCAATATAATAAATTAAACAAAATAGATTAATTTTTGAACGCTTTTAGGAGCTAATTACGCAATTTCAAATATATTGGGTTTTTACTACATGGTTTTGCACATTTCCAGGATTTTTACTGCACGAAATTTCGGTCTCTTATTAATGACCCTATGAGAGACACCAATTGTTAAGTAAAAATCCAACATAGTTATTTTGTTGGAGAAAAATGTACAATAGCATGTTTTGATTCTAATAATACTAAATAATCTATAAAAATAATTTATTTATGCATGCTATTAAATTATAATAGTAAATTCTAAGACACAACATAACAGATTACTTTAAAATATAAAGATTTTTAAAATAAAAAAAAATTAAGCAATTAGTAAATATGCACTAACCTTAGGAACAAAAATTAATGCCATTGAAAGGAAGCAACAGAATATCAAAGCAAGAGAAACAAATGTGAAACTTGCATCTTGCTGGGAGGCAATAACCAGTGTTACAGGAGCAGTAATTAAGCAAAGAACGACAACATTATAAATAGACATTCCTACATATCTAGAGTCATTAATTTGCTTAACTTTAATGCTTCGAGTTTCATAAGCCAAAAATAGACCAAAAACTAAAACAAGTCCCTTATATCCATACATCAAACCTTAAACAGAAAATTAAGAATAATAAAAGCCAGTAAATAAACATATATTACAACTTCTTAGGTTAGGCTAAGCATATCGGTGACTTACCTAACCAAACATTGTGGTTGTCACTTTCACAATGCTCAAGTTCAGGCCTAATTTTGATATCATCATCAATGTTCACAGGGTCCTCTAATGGAAATACTTCGATTGTTCTTTGCAATGGATCATAAATTTGCCAAAAAATTAGAATACAAAAATCTATCGATAATAACCCAGTTACCATAGTGTACAACTTCCAAGGCTGCACCCTCTTCTGAAAAAGTAAAATCAACTCAAAAAGAATTCTTTAACAATCGTATAGATGACATTTTAAAAAAAGAAATAGAGGATCAAACTGACCACAGTATCTGATTTGGCTTTAGTAGTAAGCCTGTGAACTCGCCAAACTTTACTAAACATTGCTCCATAGCCCAGTGTAAAACCTATAGAAAGCAACCATGCTCTTGCTTGGCAGATAGCAGGATATTCTTCTCGAGATATGAATTGTCCATCTAAACCCAGTAGAAATACACTAGATAAACAAATTATTACACCAACCAGCATTATTGTATTGCATACTGGATGAGAGGATATTATGACCCTGAAACAAAAAAAAAAAAATCATGTTTTTCTCCATTCCATATTATTTTAGCTTAATGTAATGGCTGATTATGCATATTTAGACAAAAATACCTTCGATGCCTGTAGCAAATATTAAACGCAATCAAGCCAACTGCACCAATAATTCCTATGCTTGAAATAATCCACATACAAATAAATAAAGGAACAGATAGTGTCCTTAATACTCTTCTAACAATGGTTCTGTCTTGAGGAACTTTTCCTCCTCCAAAAAAAATAAAATAAAATAATAATAATAATAAAAATTAATTTAACATAATACTTTAAACAGCATATTAATTATAAATATTTATAATTAGCTGACTACAATAACAAACAATACATACCACTCCATTTTTCTTTATTAAACCACGTGAGATTATCGGCTTGAATATCATAATAGCCTAATTTTACATAAGTTCCGTTGATAACCTGCTCAATTTGTGTTAATGCAATTCGATCTCCTTGAGAACTAAAAGCCACTACACCCTAGATAGAGAATGTACAGGGATATTAGTATGTTTAATATTACATATCATATATTAAAAAAATATTCTTCTAAAAATGCTTACAGATACTCCTAGGAACTGAGTAGAATTTATAGCAGAATAAATATCATCTGCTATTTCCTTGTCAGTATAGGTAAAGCTCTTTAGAGTTCTTCCTCTGCTTTGAAGCCTGGCCATTGTTTTATTAAATGCTGTTAAGGGATTAAATTAAATTGTAATGTTTGATTAAGTTTAAAAATTTCCTAAATTAAATAGGTACAATTACCTAAAGCCACCGACCAAACTGCATCATATGCTAACGGAGCTTCTTGGTAGCCTTCAGGATAGCGCATGTTATCAATATCATAATTACTTTTTCTCAAAACATCATTCAATCTCTCACGAAAGTCTTCTGAAGTCTAAAAATATTTTGCAAAATCAATATCACTAATATTAATTACCATTATTAATGTCTTAACAATCTTTATTAGATCTTAGATCAAGACAAATTGAAATGGTTTAAAATATTTAACAATTATATAGAAAATTGAGATTGAGATTTCAAAATAGTTTTGAAGATTAAATGAATTGTAAGAGGTACAGATAAAGAAAAATTATTTCTGTTTTCACCTGATCTGTTTTTGCCAAAAGTAACTGATAATTGGAATAAATTATAAAATACAGATACATCGCTGATAAATACTTTAATATGATATACTGGATTTCTTTTGATTTTTGGATTACTAGATTAGTTTTGATATCATAAAATCTTAAACTAAATACAATATATTTAGTAAATAAACATTTTATTGCTATTACTACACAATTATTCCTTTTTACATCCTCATCAATTTTTCAGTGATTCTGTTTATTCCTCCGCCTATGAAATATTCTTAAAAACAATATTAATTCCTATAATTAACCATAATATGTTGCTCTTGTGATGTTCACTATCCATATATTTTATTTTATCACATTTATTAAAATATACTATAGTTACCTAAAAAATTTATTTATAGTGATAAAATTTATAGTGATTTTACTTCATGCTTATGCACCATCGCACACAGTAAAACCAGTCCAGAAGACAATTGAGGCAGTTAGTTGGGAAATATTAATGCATATGGCACACTCTGGCTCTATTCAATACAATTTATTTATGTCGATGGTGAATTTGCTTGATGACTGGTTCACCAAAAAAGAACAATAATTTTTCTGGCATGATATATAGTGTATGGTGTGGCCATACACTGCCAGAGAGATGGGGGGGAAAGTATAGCTAGCAATGGCCAATATTTCAAATAAAGTTTTTTTTAACAGTTTTATACAAACATATATTTTCTGTAAGAAAAATTCTTATTTCATATTTACACACTTGGTAAGTATATTTTTCTTACCATTCCTGAAATAGTCTTCTGATTATTTTGATTCCACATAAGAGCTTCAGTGGTAATGTGACCTTCAGCAGCAGCTCTCATTTGGTCATGGGTACAGGTTATACCTTCTTTTTCTAGGTTCACTTCAAACCAGTTATCCTCATACCATCCTTGGAACAAGAATCATGAATTATAAAACTTTTGTCAGCTTTCAAATATACTAGATATAGAAGCTTACCTATAAAAAACCATACATATTGTTTCCCATATAGTCCTTGGTGATAAATTTCACAAAGAACTCTCCTTGCTGCGACAACATAAAAGAGTCCGACTATAATCCGAGCATCTTGCCTTACTAGATTTCTCACAGCATCACTTGGGTCACTTAGAAAACTCTGTCTGGTAACAATTTCAATCTGATTTTCTTTGCATCTAGCTTCTAAATCTTCTACTGTCTAAAACATTATAGGATTATTTGTTTTATTAACTTAGAAGTAATAAATATTTATGTTCAGAACAATATCTATATTTATAAAAATGAATATATGTAAATTTGTCCACTGTAGATTACAAAATCTTCCTAACGATTATACTCAAATTTTCAGGCAAACTTCAATTAGGCCTAGAAAGAATTCCTGTAGAGTATGGCCATTGTGAGTTCAGCCATTTGGTTACAGAGGCTCCAGGAATGGAAAAATGTTCCCTGATGTGTTGTATAGCTACCCACAAATAAAATATGTATTCACTATTGATTGCTATGTTCTGCCTTAGGGAAAAGTGTGTGGAAAGCAAAAGAGTGAATTTTGAAAGGTTAATAAATTGTTATACCTAGTACACATTCTTATTCTATTGATTTTATCTCACAAATTGATATTTCATGTAATACTTGCAACTGTGTAGCATGCATGCTAAGAGGATTTTTTTATTTTATTTTTAATAATGGTTATTTTCTCATAATTTTCTTCTGTGAAACTAGGATAATTAATGAAATTATGTCACCTGAATATTTATTATTATTATTCTATTTTTTATTAATCTAAAATATAAAGATATTTATACATATTATACAGAAACCAACATATTCATCTGTAATACCGATATAAAGACTTCTTCAGCTTGTTGTAATATTGCAACTCTTGACCAACCAAATTTCTCCATCAGTTTTATCCTTGTAGGGTTATGAACTGTTGCAGAGGGATGTGTTCTAAACAGTGTTGGAAACCTTGTTCTATCAGATAATGCTGGAGAGCTTGCACCATAACATAACTGAAATTAAACAAAAATGATTTAAAATAAAGATCATGTAAAAAATCTATATTGTGATGTTGAGTGTAAATATATGTATATTTGAATAAAGTAATTGTAAACCATCACAATTTCTGGCACTGAATACAGAGTTAATCATAAATATGTTGCTTTAAAATTAGGATATTGTTTTCCTGAATTAGGATATTGTTAATTAACAATTTAGTGATGTGATGGTTGATAATTTTGAAAGACACGGAGGTACTGAAAATTAACTTATTTATGCATTTATATGTTATATTTTTAAAACCAATGATTAAAAAGTAAATTTTTTTTTTTTTTATTATTTTAATGGAATTTACAACTGTATTGCATAGAAAATACAATAAGTAAATGTGAAATTGGTAACATGACATGTACAACATGAAGAGAAACTACCCATTGGTAGAACTCAAATTAAAGTTCTATATTAGAAGATCCCAAGGCCATCTTCTTTTCAGACGCCTCGGAGGATTATCAGGGATCGAGGAGGAAGCAAGGTTTGAAACGAGAGGATTCGGATGGTTCTGCAGTTTGTTATGGAAGGACAGATATCTGGATTGGGCCAAATCGGAAACATATGGAACATTAAGGTCTTTATGGATGATTTTATTTGTGACAAAGTAAGAAGCGTTGAGGATTTTACAAAGGATTTTGGATTGTAAGGATTGGATACGAGAGGAATTCGTTGGTTTAGTGGAGCCCCAAAGCTCAATTGCGTAAGTCCAAATAGGTCTTATTATTGTCATATATACGAGTCGTTTATAATTGATTGATAGCTTTGATCGTTTGTCTAGTAAGTGCTGCAGTAGTCGAAAAAAGTAAAATAAATTCTATTAGCTATATTAGATCATGCACAAAAACCTATTTAAGTTACTAATATGAAGAATTAACATTTTTATATATTTTTTAAAACATGAAATTAATTTTTAAAATAAAATTATTATTTAACTAAAAAAAAGTTTTATCTTTACCACAACCAAATTCCACATTTTGGCAGCCTCTGCTACTGTTGTACAAACTGTGCTACATCCTGCCAGCAGCATAAGTTTTTGTGGTTTGTTATAGAGTAAGTTGTACATTACAGAAGCTCCAAGACCAGGCTCACACTTAAAAAAAAAATAAATGTATTACTTTTAAAAAATTTTGATGTAAGTATTTGTTATTAATCCATTTTTTCAATTAATTTGTTAAAGTGAAAGTATTTTATTTGTACATCTATAGAGCAACAACCTTTATAATTTTCTTTTTATGGAAACTTTGATGATAAGAATATTGAATACAGATGACACTAAAGGATTTTGCTTGGTTCTTTTTGTAGGGGGAATCATGAAAGGTACGTTTTTTAGAGGTATTGGCCCACACTATATGTTCACCAAAACTGTTACTACTACTAATTAGAAGTTTGAATTTTGAAAAATATGAATTATATAATAATTTATATGCTATAATAGCTTCAATGAAGACTTCTCTTCTTGGATTTTAATCTTTTATGGGAAAAATATGATAGGTTTGCTGCATAATAAAGATATGTGTCTGAGTTGAAGGCAATGAAGCACATTTTAATACAATAAAATATTACTTACTTCACTATCATTCCAATGTAATTTTAATGTAAAACCTGGAAGGAGGTCCTTTCTATTATTTACATCTTCTAAAGCAAGATTTGCAGCCGGCTCACACGCCTATAGATTAACTATATTAGAATTTGATCATAATTACCAGAAATCAAAAATTGTAATGTAAAGTGAATCAAAAACATAAGCACCTGCCCTCCTTGCCAACCACCTTCCCCTCCGATCGGGAAAATTCCTCCGATGTGGAGGACATTGTCATCCTCTTTTTCTTCACAAGAAACAAACTTCAATAAGCAATAAGCAAACAGCAGGGCCAGCCATGGGCATTTCTAAAAGTTAGAGAAGAATATTAACACATTTTTATACAATTTATTATCATAATAATTAGAACATATAAAGCTATTTATAAAATCATAAATAATTATAGTTCACCAAGTTGCAAAATTGATAACCTGATAGCCCTTTTAAGTGCAATCTTCATAGTCTGAACTTATTTCTGCAAGGTTGTTTTCTAGTTAAAAAATCTTTCCCAGAAACAACAAGGTGAAGCCTGAGTGGGTGCTTGGACACCCAGATAATGAGGTGACGGATAGCCTTACTGAGAAGGGCTCAAAACTGGTAACTCTGGTACCAGAGTCCAACTGCGGTATTAGCCTCAGCTATGCTTAAAGCCACGTAAATATAGCTGTAGGCAATAAGATTAAAATGTGATGGGAAAACACTAGGAAACATAATCGTTCCTAGAAGGAACCTGGAAAGAGTACTTCAAAGTGTGTGACAGCACTATAAATAGGTCACAGCCAACTGAATAAACACCTCTTCAATCAAGGGCTAACTGAATCACCAATCTGCAGATTTTACAGTGTGGGGTAGTGAAACCGCCTATCATATAATATGTTTCTCTAGCTAGGACGTGGTTCTTCCATTTTGGCTGTGACTGTATTATTGATCCTAAACTTTGTGAATTGATTGCTCCTAACAGCATATATAAATTCGCAAAGGCTACTCATAATTAGTCTCAGTGAGGCTACGGTGTATTCGTAATGGATATTAAAAGGAAAATTGCTGAAGAGGGTATTTAGTAAAACAAAACACAAAAAATGTTTGAAATTTGATAAATATTTGCTAATTATTAACTGGATACATATACTTGTATTATCAGTTCAAAATTGACTTTTTTTATAAAAATCTCTTTCCCTCATTTCATCTTCTCTTGTTTATTAAGAAGTTATAAAGGGAATTTACTCATGGCAATTTTCTCTCAGTTGCTAATAGAATACTGAGATTAAAGAAAGATTCTATATCTTCAATCTTTACTTTCATTATATTTTTTTGCAAAAAAAAAGGTCCAGTATAACCACAGGAAAAGTATGTGTGAATGTATTAATAGAAATTTGTTTTTTCCTTTCTTGAATAAAACCTTTCATCCACTCTTCGATTTCCTACATTATGTTTTTTCTCACTTTTTGTTTTTGCCATATGGCTTGTTGAATTGTTTGGACTAATGAAGTTCAGATTACTGAGATTGCATGGTAAGTAGTTTTAATGAGGTCATATTTAGTTGAAATTATTTTATTAATTTACATACATTTATAATTTTGATTTTGTTCATCTAATAAATCGTTGGTATGAAAATGGAAGGTTTTTCTTGATTAAATTACAAAAAGTAATAAGCAATTTGATTCTTCTGAGTTCTTGTTACTGAAGTAAATGATTCCTACATAATAATTTTAACTGGTGTTATGATTCACCAGAAACAGAGAAAAGAGTGTCCATTGTTTATAGAAAATTAACAAAATTCATGTACAAGCCAAATTTATAGTATCTTCCGTTTAAATTTTGGAATTTAGGTATATTAAGCAATATAAAAAGAAAAATTATCTCATTTGTCATAAAAGATAACAAAATATATATATATTTCAAGAGATTTTTTTCAAATATTTTATTTGCTATTACAAATTTGAAAGTAGAACTGTATAGACAATACTCATATCTAAAAATAATAATTTGAATATATGAGATTTCAGTTTAAAAGTTATTGGTACACTTTTACATTATAAGTACAATTACATTACAGTATAATTACAAAAGTTAAGTGCATTTTGTGATAGTTATATCGCAAACATTAGCATATTTCAAGCAATGAATGAATTTCTTGAATTTATTTTAATATTGGTGAAATATTTATTCTTTTCAATGATTACTTGTTGCAATGAATTTTAATATATCTTCTAATTTTGAGTTTAAAAAATACATTATTTTGGCTGCCATTTGTTTTAATTAACAATTTAAATTAAAACAGAATTTATTACAGGTTTTATGTTCTGTTTGCAAAATAGAACAGGAATTTAAAGAGCTCAAAATGCCATAAATATCACAGAAATGAAGCAATAGAATCAGAATTTTCTTTTGATCAACCATGACTAGGTATAACTAAATCAAGGTATATAAAGGTATAACTAAAACAACAAATTAACTTTTTTAATAATTAGGAGTTAAGAAATAAATCCTTATTAGAGGTCTATTACATAATATATTTAGAAACTATAATTAGCATAACTGGGTTTCTATCGAGAACCATCTACAACATTTGAAGTAAGATATTGAATTTATCGTAAAAAGATCCTCAAATAATTTAAAACAGCCACTAGAAGGTAAGCAAATATACCAAAACCTAGTTGTTTATTTCTAATGTGAAATAAAGCAATAGTAATTGTATTAAATGCATGCCAATGCTTATAAATAAATAAATATTTCAGTTACAATTTCATATTTTTTTCTTATTTCCAATACAAAGATTAGAGAAAAATACGTCCTAAGAAGTATAAAAAAGGCCTCAAGCTAAGTTTAAAATATTGGGAAAGTAAAATTGAGCATAATCATTCAATTTATCAAAGAAAATTTCAAGTCAATTCAGATATCATTTCCAAGACTGAAGGATATATAATATATACAGCACCAGCAAAAATGATTAAAATTACGACACCCAGAAAAACTACAATGGGTAGTTTCATAATGTCAGTCATTATTTTTAAATAATAACTTCCAGAAGGTTCCTAATTGTTTTTATAATTTTTTTTACGTAGTAAGTACAGATTTCTACGTTTAAAAGTGATTAAATATTATATGTTTTGCATTTTAAATGAAATAAAATAAATCTTTAACAGTAAACACTGTTACGAAAGTGAAACTAACAAAATAATACCTTTGCCATGACTGTAGGCCCTACTGCCTTCATTGGTATTGATCGCTCTGAGGGCGGCGCATGCTGGTAGCGAATTCATCTGGCTCAAAAATTTGAATGCGTTTTAATAACATTGTTCCAGTAAGCAGACATCCCAATTTTTAAAATTATTTAAATTGAATAAGTTTAACCTCGTATATCTGTCTGAGTGGGTTCTTGTTATAACGCCTATCGTATTTTTACCACTTAAAAATTTTACTTTGTTTTGCAAACTTGGAGTCCATTCAGAGGCCTACGGCTTCTTTTTATAAAAGATATGTGGGGTACCCTCAAAGTATGGAATTACTTTCTGGCTCAGAAACAACACACAGAGATTGAGAAACAAGCTGACATCGGCTTAGGGGCCATTTCCATTATAAGATCCATATCTTCATATTTCTTCGCGTTAGCAAACAGAACAACTTCCTGGGAAACGTTGCAGGTGCTAGCAGAGCTCGAGCTCCTGTAAGAAGTTACCAAACATAAAAAACAAAAAAACAAAAAAACAGAAAAAAAAGAGGTGAGGATTATTGGTAAAAAAAGCACAGGAAAATAGATTACTCAGGAATATTGATTGAGGATTTAAGCAGATGGTGGATGGCAACCTTGAAAGGGAGAATGAATCCCTCGGACTCTTAGGTTTCACAATTCCTCATGGAGTACGATTATGGGAATTTTCGAGCCAAACTAAATATTATCCCATTGCCATACTTGTGTTCTGGTGACTATTGAGCCTGTGGTCGCGACCTGCATTCAAAGGGTAAGTGTCGCGAAAAAAAAAGACTATTACTATGGAGCTGTCAGAAGGTGGAAGCTGTTTGGTAACAGAGTTTTATATTTAATAATTATAATTATAAAGAAACATACTAAATGTACATACAGAAAATTATAGTTTTAACTAAAACTTCAACTCTTAAAGATGTATATTTGCCATTAATAAAATAATGAGAGTTATTCAAATGAAGGAAATGTTACAAATCACTTTCATATTTCTTCAAAATTGTAAATTTAATTTAATACATTTATTAAAATTGGCCTCTTTTGTTTTCTCATAAACTGAAAAAGAAATACTTAGAAATACTTCAGTTTGGTTGCCAGCATCAACGTGTAAGACTCTGGAGTGCGAAAAACTCATTTTTTAGGAAATAGCAACTTTTAATATTTTGCCATCTGCGAAATGAAATGTTAACAGCCCTTAGACGTTTGTCATCCACGATCAATTACATCAAGAACCTCATCCAATTTTTTTTTTTTAATTTCTTAAGGTGTTGTGTATTACTTTTTATACTTTGTACTGTACTACATATTGTATATCATTCAATATGTCTTCGATTCAGTTGCTTTATTAATAGGATAAAATCATACCCAATTCAATTTTTTATATCTATATACAGTGCCCATAGGAGTTTTCCCGGGTAACATAAGCTGAAAGGTCCAACGAAACCTCAGGGTTGATATTGGGTAACGAATATTTAATATATAGGTTACAAAACACTCTGGATATTGAATCTTTGTTCCAATATGTTTTAGAATCAGATTGTGTAATATTGGCACTATTGGATTCTGTTAACATTGTCTTTACAGAGAAGATTCTTGAGTTTGGTTCACCTGGGTCATGGTCATACTGGTGTGGTTCGTACCAAACAGCTACTTCGCTCTCGGGTTTGGTTTCCTGTAATGGATTCCTTTGTTGAAGCCAAGATCAAATCATGCTTACTTTGTCTTGCTGTTACTTCAGCCGAGCAGAGGGACCCTATCCAGGCCACTCAGGCCAAGACCAGGCCTTGGTCTGAACTCTCAATCGATTTTACGGGTCCTTTTCCTGATGGTAAATATATTTTGGCTGCGATAGACGAGCATTCTCTTTTTCCTTTAGTGGACGTAGTTTCATCGATTTCCAGCTCATCAACTTCAAAAATTTTACGCAGAAAGTTCTCTGAGTTTGGGGTCTCTGGCGTTCTTAAGTTAGACAATGGGGCACCGTTCAATTCTAAGGATTATGCTAATGTCAACTGGGAATGAGGGCCAGACATCTCCACAATTCCGAGAGATTCTTTAGGGCACTAAAAAAACAGTACAGATGGCTATTGTGGAAAAGAAGAATTGGCCAGAAGAACTGGAAGCCTGTTTAATGAATTATCGCACCACTCCACAGGCGGTATCAGTACTATAGGTACTACTTTTATCAGGCCAGCAAGTATAATTTTTAAACAACCCTTTACTGTTGGGTATTTGTCAATTGTCGAACCTGTAGAGAAAAATTGAAAATGGAAACACGAGACTATCAAAATAAATAGAAGATGTCCGCCTACGCAAATGAGAAGCGTCGAGCTGCTCCTCATGGACTACATCCCTCTGATATCGTTCTGGTAAAGCAGCCTCAGGCCAACAATTTTACCCCTTTCTTTGACCCTAGCCCTTATAAAGTGGTCTCCGTTAGTGGAAACCAGGTCACAGCTGGACGCCAGAGAAAAAAAAAAATACGCCCAATAGGTCATTTCAAACGCCTAGACAATGCTTCTAATTTCGATAGTGTTGAGGTAGAAGAAGAGTATTTGGATGATGTTGAGCAGCAGCTCACCACTGACCGAGAAGAAACCTCACAGCCTGTTGCAGCAAGTGCCTCATAGGATTCTCACCAAGAACCTCCAAGACCCCCTATCAGCATTTGAAGACCTTCAATGTATTTATTTAATACATGTGTTTCTTTAATACAGTTGTAAATATCATTAAGAAATATATAAAAAAAAAAACGGACCTTCAAGATCCGTAAAGACTCCAGAACGATTCAAAAGACTATTATTTGCCTCCTCGGGAAAGAACGTAGCATAGTGTCAACACGGTTCATTCAACAATATATTATCTTTTAGATATATAATTTTCTTATTGTTATTACTGAATATACTGGTTACTAAATATGTGTATTAATTGCCTTTTCATTTGTCAGTTAAAATCTGGTAAAGTTCCATCAGAAGATATCAATAAAAAATCATTTAAGTAAAAAAAAAAATTATAATCTTGCGCACATGAAGGAGTGATATGAAGAATTTTAAATTGAAATCGAATTCAGCACCGTCATTAGCTTATCCAGTAATGTAGTAAACGAACACTTTAAAGCTTAAAAACGATGACAGTTAAAAAATCAATGACTTTAAATCAATGTCCCTATAAATCTATATAATCACACGATATCTAAAAGTTCTTATGCAATATTAACAATCTGTTTCATTTTTAACAACCACTAAGAAAAATCCTATTATTATAAGCAAATTTGCGTATCAATAATTATTTAATATGGAACAACATGAAAAAACAAAAATAGAATATACAGAAATATGAAACGAAAAAATTAAAGTAAAACAATGCCTCTTTTTATTTCATAATTATTGCACTTCTGATGTTGGCTACGTTTATGTTATTAATGGAATCTCCTTCGAAGAAGTATTGGAGTATTAAAATAAATTCCAGCAAATACCCATAATTCTTCGCTATATATCTAAGTCAAGCTGTACTATCTTTTGGTAATGCTATCAAGGATTTAATTTAACAAGCGGCTAACATTATGTCCTGATGTAATTGTGTTTTCTATGCAAGTTTATTTCATGTCATTTTAACCTAAATATGCATATTGTTTAGTATATTTATTGCAACGTATATGACAATATTAAATTTACAATAAAAAAATTTTATTGACTGCTTAGAAAATACGGTTTAGATGATTTTGTTGAGCAGTGGATGGTCGGAGATTTTTATCTAAACTATGTAACACAAAAGTTGACGTATTCTTACTAATGTTATAACTTTCAGTGAACATTATTTAAAAAATTAAATTTATTACATATTTTCAAAGGCTTAAGGTGAAGCAGCCGTCGTGGAACCATAAAAATGACAGTCTTGAGGGGTTTCGATTTGGAAACATGTGCGTATCAAGGGTGGGGTGCCCTCTTGCGATATAAAAACAATTAAAATAAATCAGCAATGATAAACAACAAATTTCTCAAAAATTGGTAGGCAGAGTTAGGTTATTAGTATCTTAACTTTCAAAAACAAACTAACTACCAGAAAAGACATGAAAGGAATTAAATCTTTAAAAATGCCCTCTTCTGTTTTGAGCCTTCAAACCAAAATATCGTTACTGTTAGTGCGTAGTATGTAAAAATTGATTTTTTTTTTTTTTTACAGAAGAGCCTAAAAACCTACTATTTCTTTATTTTTCTTTATGGACGCAACTTTCCGCTTTGAAAGCAATTACCTCGATATGGCGAGTAAAATAGAACTTCCGTGAGACCTTCGAAGAGAGAGAGAGCTCACCGTGAGAGGCCTCTGATTTGGTTCTCGCGGAACGATCCCAAAAAGAACAAGGAGCTTCTTTGAGGAACTGGATGTTGAAGTTGAGGAGCTTGCGATATTGGCCGAGAATATTATTCTGGACTTCATGAGGATCATCCATTATCACTTGCATAGTAATTGACTGTGAATTTAGGATGAATTTTGTCATTTTAATTTTAATTTTTATCTTTGTCTTTTCTTTTAATCTATATTCATGTAATTGCATATTATAAATGTATGCGATTTAGTATTTCTAGCATTTGAATATTTTTTTTTTCTTTCATAAAATGTGTATGTTATATAATGGTGATTGTTTCTTCTTCTTCGTTCTCTTCCTTCTTAGTGCCTTTCACCGTGGAGGTGTCTCTATCCTGGTAAACTAAACTTCTCGATCACGAGCCAGCACCCTCGTGGCTTTCCAGTTTTTTCCTCTTCTCTCTCCCACATTGGAGATGTAGTCTTTCCATTGTGTTATGAATTTAAGTAAATTTAAATTAACATATGTTTTGAAAACATTATAATTCATTAATCTTGTTGTATTCTATGAGTTGAATAAAACCTTACGTTGAAGGTATCTATTTATTTATTACAATTTATTCAACTTAACTCTAATTATTCTAAAGTTTACAGGTCTATTACGTCTCAGAAACGAACTGCTGCTGCTATTGTTGCAAGTAATCCTTCTGGTTTAGTTGCACACAGTTTGAAGAAGGCAACAACCAAAGCTGTTATTAATGGTTCAGAAGTTTGTGTGTTGATTGAGCCTGGAAGCTCTATCAGTTTCACCAGCAAAAAATCTGCCTTTACGTTAAATTTGAAGATTAAGCCATTCAATGAGAAGATTTCAATGGCATCTACTTCTCTCTGTTCTAGAACGTGTGGCCAATGTGTAGTTGGCATTAGCATAATAGGTCACTATTATAAAAGATGTTAGACTGTCGGTCCTTCCTGATCTGTGCGCTGACGTGGTCAATGGTCATGACATACTCAAGCAGCACGGTAGTGTAAATCTGTTCTTTGGCGGCCCCAAAGCAACGCTCACTGTATGTGGTCTCGCTGTAGCAAATGTTCCACCCGCGCCACTCTTTGAATATCTTTCACCGGATTGTAAACCAATAGCGATAAAATCACGTCAACAAACTAAAACTGATTCACAATTTATAGAAGTTGAGATCGAACGCCTCCTAACCGACAAGGTAATTGAACCGATTATATCTCCTCAAATTGGAGAGCTCAAATACTCGTTACCTCAAGTAACAATCATAAAAGAGCATGGTGATTGATTACTCTCGCACTATAAACCGTTACACCCTCCTGGACGCATATCCACTTCCTCGAATAGAGTCCTTAGTAAATAAGATCGCCCATTATGAAGTATTTAGTACCATTGACCTCCGTAACGCTTATCATCAAATTCCTATAAAAGACGAAGATAAGCCATACACTGCTTTTGAAGCGTGTGGTCGGCTTTTCCAAAGAGTGATGGATCAAATAATTCGCAAAGAGGGCCTGAAGGATACATTTGCATATATTGACGATGTTACTGTCTGTGGAAGAGATCAAAGAGAACACGACGAAAATCTGAAAAGGTTTGTGGATGCAGTTCAAAAGTACAATCTAACGCTGAACAATGAAAAGACCGCCTTTTCTTTAAGGTCTATCAAACTTCTTGGATATTTAATAAGTACCAAGATCATTCAACCTGACCCCGATAGGCTACAACCTCTCCGAGATCTACAACCTCCAACAGACACGTCTTCATTGAGGAGAGCCGTTGGCATGTTCGCCCATTACTCGACCTACATAAAAGAATTTTCTAAGAAAATACTGCCTCTAACACGCTGTGCGTTTCCCTTGTCACGAGACGCATTATGTGCGTTCAGCAACCTCAAACGGGAAATTGCAAATGCTTCATTGACTCAGATTGAGGATGATGCCCCATTCACCGTGGAAACCGACGCTTCAAATGATGCTATTGCTGCCACTCTTACGCAAGACCGCCGTCCTGTAGCATTTTTTTCTAGAGCTTTATCCGGTCCTGAACAGAAGCACTCATCAGTAGAAAAGGAAGCCTATGCGATAGTGGAAGCAATGCGTAAATGGCGAAGCTATCTACTAGGAAGACATTTCTATCTTATCACGGACCAGCGTTCAGTAGCTTTTATGTTCAATTCCAAGCATAATGGGAAAATCAAAAATGAAAAAAATTTAAGATGGCGCTTAGAGCTATCCTGCTTCCATTATGACATTGTGTATAGACCAGGCAAAGAAAATGCAGCAGCTGATGCACTCTCTCGGATTTGTTCAAGTATGGATGATTCAGATAGCCGACTTCACCGATTACATGCCTCTTTGTGTAATCCTGGAATCACGAGAATGTACCATTGGGAACTTATTAAAAATTTACCTTTTTCCCTTGAGATGATGAAAAGAGTGACCTCATCATGTGATATATGTGCTGAGATAAAGCCACGATTCTTCAAACATCAAGGGAAATTGATTAAAGCCACTTCACCGTTCGAACGCCTAAATATTGATTTCGAGGGACCTCTACCAAATTCTAACGGAAACAAGTACCTTCTAGTGATTGAAGATGAATTTTCTCGATTCCCCTTCGCTTTTCCTTGTCGAGATATGACATCTTCTTCTGTGATCGCTGCTCTAACTCAACTGTTCTACCTGTTTAGCGCTTCTGCATACATCCATTCAGATAGAGGTACATCGCTAATTTCACAGGGATTAAAAACATTCCTCTTATCTAATGGCGTCGCATCCAGTAGATCAACTCCTTACAATCCACAAGGTAACGGTCAAGTTGAAACGTACGATAGAATCATCTGGAAGACAATACTACTTGCGCTCAAGTCTAAACACTTTCCTGTAAACAAATGGGAATCAGTTTTACCTGAGGCTCTACATTCTGTGCGTTCTCTATTATGTACAGCAACTAATGAGACACCGCATGAAAGGATGTTCAATCATCCCAGACGCACGGGGAATGGAGAATCACTTTAAAACAGTTTATTCGCCATTCTAAATCTGATCCTCTTGTAGAGGAAGTAACACTCTTGGATGGTAATGCTGAATACGCTCATATTCTCTATCCAGACGGAAGGGAAACAACAGTATCGACCAGATATCTTGCTCCTATCGGGAGCAACAGAAATTCTACCGTATATGACGAGGAGGTAGATAACAATCAAGGGGCACCTATCGTCACTGAAGCGGAGGAACGCGTCAGACCTGGTTCGGTAGTTGTACCACCTGTTCAGGAAGATGACTTCTCTGGGTCTAATATACAAAACGATAACCAAGGACAAGCAGTGAACAACCCTTCCGAGGATAGGCCTCTACTACGAGCTAGCTCGAGAACTAGAAGACCTCCCTCATACTTAAAAGACTATGTTACCTCTTAAATGAATAATGTGGGGTGAATGTTATGAATTTAAGTAAATTTAAATTAACATATGTTTTGAAAACATTATAATTCATTAATCTTGTTGTATTCTATGAGTTGAATAAAACCTTACGTTGAAGGTATCTATTTATTTATTATACATTGTATTCTGGATCTCCCTCTTGGACATTTTCCTGTTGGTCTGGTCTCAAAATATTTTCTTGGGTCTTTATCTTCACTCATTCGACCGAGATGTCCAAACCATCTGAGTTGTCTCTTTTCAATGGTATCCTTTAAAGGGACAGCTCCGACATCCTCTCTTGTCCTCTCATTCCATATACGATCCCTCCTAGTTCTTCCTGCCACTCTCCGAAGGTAAAGGAGGGTAGGTAGGTAGTATAGCCTTGAATACATGTACTTCCACATTCTTCTCTACCTCCTTTTTCCCCATAAGTGTGTTGCAGATGTAGTGGTATATTGAATTTGTCCTCTTTATCCTATTGGATATTTCTTGGTCTACCTTTCCATACCTGCTGATCACGGTTCCGAGGTAAGTGTATTCGTCCACTATTGCTAGTGGTACACCTTTGACTAAATAAATAATAAAAAAATTAATAAAATGACCGTTTGTATTTACTTGCTCATGCATTAATAATTTAACTGTAATCAAAATTAGTTATAAAACAGATTTATACATTTATTTATTGGCGCGGAACATTTGTAAAAAAACATTACCCACTATAAAAAAAGTTTTTATGATTCATATTTCATGTAAGTGAAACAAATATAACACAACAAAATTTAAGTTTTATTGTGTTAAAGTCATATGCATTATTTCCAAATTAAGTAAAATTATTCGTGAAATGACCACATGAAATTTGAATTTTAAAAATTTATAAGAGGTAACTTTTAGAATTTATATCAAAATTTTATGACTTAATGGAACGAAGAAACTGCGGATTCTATACATGGGTATGTTATTGACAATTACTTTTTTATATTGGAATTTAAGTAGCGAAATGATAGGTTACAAAATGTACTGTTTCTTTTTAATCAACACAGCTGGGAGCGATTACAAAGATATATAAATAAATACGAGGTTAATTTTATAAATATCTGATAATTATTAATGAAAGTATATTTGAGCTATGCGATGTAGCGTTATTGAAAAATGAGGTGTTCTAAATATCTACACCAGTTGATTATTTGAGGATTATTCTCTTATAAGATCATATTTAGCTTAGTTCGAAAGAGTTTGCTATAATCATTGTCTTAAAGTATGATTTTAATTTTTTAAATATTAGCCCAGTAAATGTAGGCAATAAACAGGACCGATCTCAAGAAAATTCAAAATTGGCTGTAAATATTGGCTCCTCATCGAATGCAGAACTAACCATTCAAAGTCTCCTCATGTCCTCCCCATGTCCGCTTCTATACAAAATGGAAAGTCAAAGATGGCCACGTTGCACTGTCTTATGTTATGTTTTTCCTCACATCTCCGTCAAAAACCATCTTTCTTGAACTGTCCAAGTGCTAATATAATCGGCAAGGATGCTTGTTTTGGATTTCATTGAATTGTTATGAACTAGGAGCTACCGATCATTTTAGTCCATGAAACAGATCCCTTTTTATCAAATTATTAATATCAAGCTAAAATTTAGTAAATAGCTTTATCTCATCGTAACCAACAAATATTTTATTTACGAAAATTATCGGAATTGGAGTGTTTTCAATCTGGAAATCGGCAAACTATTTAATTAGGTACTAAAATCGCAGGAATACATCCATTCTCTTTCCACTTGAATGTTAAGATAACATAATCACGAAAAAAAAAAAGTGGCCTACAAAAATATAGGACTGTTTGGCCTATATAAACTATTATTTTGATATTTTAGGGGAAGAGGTCACGCCAAACGGACTAATTTTTGTAGGCCACATTTTTTTTTCGAATTTTTGATCATATTATCTTACGAATCAAGTGGAATGCAAATGGGTATTTATGAGTTTTTTTTTGTTTTTTTTAGGCGGATGTTCATAATTTTATAAAAAGTTATCTGTTCTACGGGATATTTTATTTAGCTCAAGGACTTACAGTTGATAACCATTTTAAACTGTAGAAAAACCTCATCTGAGCACACAACATCGGTCAGTCGGTTGAAAGCTTTTGCTTTCTATACAAAAATTAAAATTAAATTGGCGAAATTCGAAATTTCATTTAACAGAAAAACCGATGGCCGAAATTTTGAAATGATGTAAAGGATATTTCTCTAAAAGAGAATTCCCCTGACTGGCATTCAGAAAAATGACGGCGTCAGTCAAAGACTTAAATGTGGAAAAATTCGAAAAGTCTCTCTTCCGGTTTCTCTTCGGTCTTTTATGTTTTTTAGAATGTTGAATTTGACTTTGAAGTTATGTCCATATATCCAAACCGAAATTTTCCATTGCGTTCCCAGATATATGCAAAATAACAGCGAAATTTCCGTACTTTTTTAGTTTTTTGACCATGACACCCAAACTATGCATCATCGAAATTATTACTCTGTACAAACTTAAAAAACACAATATCTTCTATAGATTTTATCCATAGCTTTTTGATGTAAGTCCAACAGGTGAGGAGACAGAACAACTTGTCTGTTTGCTTATTTCACAAGAAATTGTCCCTATTTGGCAAATGAATAGTGGGATATTTTGATTTTTATATGTATAATTGTTCTAAGGCTCTGTTCTAATGTGAACATTTTGTTTTGTGAATGTTTTAAAACCTATTTAGATTTAAACAAAGTCCTAGAATATTGAAGATATCCTGAATTTTCCAGGACTATTTCTACAACACTGCAAAAGAGTAGTAGAAAATTATGTTTGTGATTATAAAATATTTTTCGTTGATAAGAAAGTCCAGAAATTGATGTCAAGATAACCCATTTCTTATTTTTTTTATACGACCTTCAAACCCAGTCTCGGATATGTAGATCTCAGATAAAAAAAATGTGTTATCTTTAGCAGTGACGGTGCTGATACTGTCACCAGTTTAATTTAATTGTACACGTGAAGAAATACTATTACCTTTTTTTTATTTATATACGGTGTATACTAGAGCTGGGGAACGCCAATATTTAGTTGTAACTGCGAAATATAAAAAAAAATTGTAGCAGTCTCCTTTATTATTACACAATATAAATGAGAACTTTAGCCGTAAAAAAAGTTATCCACCATTTGGCGAATAGCTTCCTAGATATCTGTTTATTGCTTTGTACATGTTTAAACAATATAACATTTAATCTTTTGTTAAATACACTTCGCTGATGTACAAACCGTTGAATACCAAGAGAGGTATACTTTTCATAATATATAATTAAGTAATTATTGGACGTATTAAATCTACATTTTTAAATAGTTGGATGTGCTAAAAACTGACTATTTTTTAACAAATGTCTCAGACCAAGCTCGTCTTTAGAGCAACCCTAGTACGGACATACAGTGGTTTCTAGGCCAACAATTGTGCAAGGAGCTGCTTTTAACAAAGATCATGCACAACCGCCGGGTTTTCCCTCATAATTAATTTTTTAAAATAAAAGTACTATTTTTATGGAGACTGGATGCTCCACAACAGAAGGATCTTCCGACCATGGTCGATCCACCGCTGGTTTAACAGAATAAATATCTGTCACAGCAAGACTTGAACCTGAAAACCGAATTGAGCACGTCAACACAGTACCTTATTCACTAAGCTACACTGCTTACTATTATTAATTAATTAAATAATAATATAAATGTTCGTTGTATTGTTTTTGTTAGATGGTTCTGGTGACTTGCGTCGGAATAGCTGGGAATCCAGTTACCACTATTACAGGCAACTTTTCGAAGATAGAAGCAGACTAACATGGCAGGAGGAAGCAAGGATCAAACACACCAAAATGAAGGAGTGCACTGCTCTATTAAACAAAGAGTTCTGGAAGAATGTAAACAGTATTACACGAATGTATTTTAAAATGGTGGAACTGCAAAAGACAATAATAATGGTTGAAAACAAAATTAATGAAATATGTAATCATAACAGATAATATTTAATTATTATATCTATATAATACTTAAGAATGGAAGAGCTCTAGACAGATATTATTTAGTCACTCCATCTTTTCTCCTCCCTCATCCAAACATTATATAAGTTTACAAAGCTAGACCTGTTTATTATCACTTTAAAACCTACACATCCTACTGAATACTATGTATTTTATTTAAAAACTCTATTTGTTTTGGGAAGTGATGCCCAAATGCATGACCAATACGAGACTTATATTTTATATTTTATAGCACACAATAGATCTTTCAAGGGTCGCGGTGCTTTAAGCCTACCAATAATAATAATAAAAGTCTTGGTCTTGGTAGTAAGATTTTCGCAAGTCTTGCATATTGCATTAGCATAATGCTATTTATTCTTTTAAAAACGCCAGCTTAAATCATAGAATAGAAATAGATAACGGGACAGAGTAGGTACATTATGTGCTTACATTGATATAGACATACAATATCGATATTTAAATCAAATACTCAATAACGCCCAAGTCTCAATTTGACTTAACTGCGAGACCTTTGATTTGACTTAACTGCGAGATTCTTGCAGGGCAGTCTTGTTCCAGTTCAGTTCTTGCAGGTCAGTCTTGGTCTTTTACAAAAAATATGCTATATTGGTCTTGGTTTTGCGAAAATGCAAGAATTGGACTGTGACCGTTAGAGGGCAATAGTAGTGCAGGGGTGCCCATCCCTCCCTAACATCAATTTCGCATGCCTCTCTCCCAGGGAATTTGAATTGGAACCCATTGCAGATCATATAAATTAAACTTGACGTGTCATTTCCATATTATTCACCTTCTATGAATGCCTCACCTTACCGAACCGCATAAAAATATTGTCGATTTAACATAATGCATAAACGCATTAAAATATGTATACCACTAAATTCTAAACCCCATGAAGATATGTCCCCCCAAACATTTTGGGGTGGCGCAACTTGCCGGGACTGTTTGTATTGTTTCTTAATTAATAAAACGTTGTCTAAGTTTGATACGGATTTGATAACTAGCGTACATAAAACATAATAATAGTATTTGTTGAATGAATGAATCCCTCATTGAACACTTCTGGCATAGAATATTATGCACGAAAGATGTGTCTTTTGGAGAAAGTATTAGGATAAACAAGGTGGATTAGCGTGATCCGCACCCGGTAAATATAATTGTAAGTTAACACCATCGCGAAAACAGAAATTAAGGTCTTGGGTTCAAAAATGAAAGTCTTGTTAAACCTTAACCAATATTGTGCCTTTGTATTTGTAACGCCCGAAAAGGGAAGACCAAAATAAACTAAATGGGCTGTTAGATAAATATTACTTGAAAAGAAAATATTTGTTGGAATTCCAATGAAATTTCGGGAATCGACGGGCAAGCAAGATAAAAAACTACAGGCTTTGATTTATGGATTCCAGATCTTGTTTGCGATATGCAAGACTCATGACAAATAAAAAACCAATATGATCTTATGGGGTACATTATTTGTTACAGATTAAGCAGTTTTATGGACCTTTTGAATGAATTTGAATTCCAGGAACAGTCAGATCCTCATACAGTAGTGTCAAATGAATGACTCTTGCATAATATGCATATTTTAATAACATTTGCACTGTGTCACCTTGATTTGTGTTGTTTCTTTGTTTTTTTCCACGGACGATATGTCACTGGAACTTTAAACCTCCTATTACTGATTAGTTAACAATCTTTTATTCATTTCTTATGATATAGTCAATAATCAACTATTAATATTATTGATTTGTTTTATTTTAAGGGAAAGAGTATGCGGAGTCTCATCCAAACGAAGTTAAATATTCTTCCGGTTCAGAGCTCAGTTGCAGATACAGCGATAGTAAATCTTGTTCAGGTAAATAATTTGTGGTTAAAAAATAAGATAATCCACCTGAGGAACCGGTCACATATAGCGTCAAGAAGCGTCCTGCTGTTTGTTTCTCTCTCTTACCCCATATTACGCTCCATACATCTTCTCAACCCCCTTTAACACGTGATGCCAAGAAATTTACTAACAGAGAGCCATGATTTTGCACAAAATTTAACTTTTATTATTCCTTAACTTACTTGGATTATGTATCTACGTTTAACTAAAATGCAGTGCCTAATAATTGGTTTCTCAATTAAAATTTCATTTGACAATAATAAGGCTTTAGGGTTTTCTATCGACAGTTATGATATACCTCAAATAATACTGTTAATCGTAATGCTGCTCTTACAATAATAATCCTCCCCCCTCCTCATTCTCCCTCCATCGGCTGTAAATATTAATCAACAAGAACCAATCACTTCTCTCCATCTAGGCGTGAACGACCCCAAAATCTAAACAAAAACAAAATGCAGATTCATAAGTATAAATTATTAAAAAGATCTTGGAGACTTTTCTGTTCAATTATCAATTGGGTTATTCTCAAATGCCTATAGGACTCTAATCAGAGTTGTATACTTGTTTAAAAAAAACTCCAGAGGTCCGTTTATATATATATGTGTGTGTGTGAAAATTAATTTCTTTGTAACCACATTATTTTTTCTGACATCTCTCAGCTCTTGTTCATCTCGTTTTGATGGTACTTGCCTAAGGCCGTTTAGAAACTGCGCTAGCAGATCTAGAGAACGAGCGTAGGGCGCGCTCCCTTCCTTTCTCTCCTCTGGAAGGTGAGAAAAAAATTTTTCTTGAAAAAAGTAATTAAACCACCGGCATTATTATTATCATTACTCTAATTGAAAAGTGAATTGTACTAAAAAAAAAATTTCGGATTATACTTTATACTTAAAAACCACGAATAATTGAATAAGTCTGAATATTTATACTAAACATTTTTAATTTATTGGAGAAATATCTGAATACTGCAGCTGAAAAGAGTTGATAGAGTGCTCTGATCATCATGTTTCAGGTCCGTAGAGGGTAATTAACTAGTTAGGGGATTTTGACTGCCATTTCAAGAAAAATACTAAACGTATCAAAAAACTAAAATACACATTTCTTCTCATATATATACATACACCTGTGGTGTAGGCAGTTCGCATATCTGCTCTACCACTCCCATTCCCCTCTAAACATTCATAGATCCGCCACTGAGAAACTTTAGGGATACTAATTTATTTTATTATTTAGTACTAAACCGCCTCCAATCCTTTTGGTATTTTATATAAACTGTCTTTTAGAGAAACCTCAGAGAAAAAACACTCAAAGCGTAGTGAATAAATGGTACAAAACAAGAGTGGTGAAGTACAAGATAGCTTCAGAGTTCGCGGCAGAGCTCCGCTTGGCTATACTCATTGCAATCCAGAACACCGCGACTGCTCAATCAGTCTTAGCTATGTCTTCAAATTTTTCAATGCTCGAGGAAAAGAGGCATTGGTTCCGCAGTCAGATCCATACCTTGCGAAACAACATAAAGCAACTAGGTGAGTCATAATGTTCACGCATACATGATTCAGAATTAATCTTATCCATTATATAATTTTCTTTGTTTTCTGTCGGTAATTTTCACCTATATCTAATTGTAAGACTTAAAGAATTTTATAACAAAAAGAGTACAAAATATCTTATTTTTCAGCGATGTCCAGCCACTTGCTCAGAGCAGAACTGAATTCCGACCAGTTCGCAGATCATTGCATAAATCTTACCGAGAAGAAAATGAAACCAAAGTTGAAAAGAAAGAAAGTTATTAAAAGGACTTTGTAAAACCATCAGTATATATTTGATTACCATTTTAAAATCAGTCTTAAAGACAGCTCTATACTAAATTTGGAAATTTATAAAATCCCTACTTAGTTAACCCATACATTTTACCTTAGTTAACCCATCCTTCCTGTCTGAATATTACAAACTAATTGTAGCTTCATATTTCAAAAAATCTGGTAGTATTTTTTTTATTTCATATTTTTTGGGGGAAAGGGAGAAAGGGAGAGAAGAGGGCTGAATCTGATTCTGAAATTATCCAAGAAAATTTCCTCATGAATCTTGTGATAAAGAGATGATCTATAACGTTCTGGAAGCTAGGCCAAAACAAGAAGGAAGAAGATAGAACAGAAGAACTGCTAGCTAGATGTGTAAACATCTTCACTCATGTTAACTAGTAGTAATTGTGGGTTGGTGGTTGACTGTAGTGAATAATTCAAGAGAAGGATGGTTGTGGTGATCAGTCAAAATGAAACTAAATAACTATATTTATTTTTATATTAGCCGACGTTTCGGCCCAAATTTCAAGCCTTCATCAGGGCTAAGAAAAAACAACCATATAACAATAGGTATGAGAAACTATAAACATCGAATAATAAAGAATTAAAATTAAAAAGGTGAAAGGTATAGGCTAAAAAAATTAGGTAGAATAAACTTAGAGTAAAATAAAAATAGATAGAGTGAACATTTAAGTAAAATAAAGTAGATAGAATAATAACAGTAACAGAAAACTAAGAAATAAATAATAATAACGGCAACAAAGTATGGACTAATGAAATAAACATAATCAAAATAAGGTAACATAAGAAATGAAAAATGGTAATCTTAGAATAAAACGTAAAACATAAAAAATGAATGTGAAGTTATATAATGAAATAATAGATATAAATAGGAAATTGAAATATTGCAAAATCTATCAAAATATACTGACTACGTATAAGAGAATAAAAAGTTAAAATAATGTAAAAAAGATGAAAGAGTAAATGTATCAATATATACAAAATAGAGATGGGGATATGACGGGAAGGAAGAAAAAAAAAAAGGGGAAAACTAAGATATGAAAGAAAAACAGACCTGTGCAATCGAAGAAGCGTTCATCTAATAAAAAATGAAAAGCAATTAGGGGTAGAGTGCTGAATACGGTAAACGATATGAGAGGGGTGTAAAGAGGAACAGGATATTTTTCTTCTAGATTTTTTCATCGTCTGTTCCTCTTTCTCTTTATCGTATTTAGTGTTCTACCCCTGATTGCTTCTCATCTGTTATTGGTGAAACCAAAAATCTTCTAAAAGAACGCATCACCCAACATAAATATTCTCTATCCTCTCGTAATTTTACCAAATTATCCTAACATTCTCTCTCCCTTAATCATACATCATCCTTCCCTAACCATGACAAACGACTCATCTCTCGAAAACTCTCCAAATCCAGCTCCAACCAAAACAGTGAATCTAAAAATAGACAAACAAAACTTATCCTTAGCCTATTCCCAAATTCTGAATTTATTAAAACATCCATAGCGTTCTCTTCCTTTTTGCTTACAACTTCCATGTTTCTCTTTAATTTAATTCATTTTCGTTTTCTTTAATCTTATTTAATAAATTCCTTTTCGTTTTCTATATTTCACATATCACGTTAAATATACTCCATTCTTATACTCCATATCAGTTATACTCCATTATTATTTAATATTTATTAACTCTGTATTAAGCTATCTCCTTAATTTATTCTATTTTATATTATTATACTATATTTATCCTCATTTTATACTATATAACATAATACTTTGTCTTTATTTTTAATTCTTTTTCTTTTTCTTTCATCACAGGTTTCACATAGATCATTAATACTCCATTATTATTTAATGTTAATTACCTCTACATTATAACATCTCCTTAATTGCTTTATAAAAACTTATTCATTTCCATTCAACTTTCAGTTTTCTTTTTCTTTAATACCAATAAAGAAATTAATTTTTTGTTTTCTTTAATCACACGTTTCACGTTGATCAGGTATTCTCCGTTATTATTAAACATAAACTATCTTTGCATTATACTATCTTCTTAATTTATTTTATAGTATATTATCCTTAATATATACTGTACACAGTAAATTACCTCTTTAATTCTAATTCTTTTCCGTTTTCGTTAATCTCACGTTTAACCTTTATTTCAGTAATACTCCACTATTATTTAATATTTATTATCTCTTTCAATTACACATTTATTTAATAACTCATAGAATTTATCTATAATAAATCTCTTGTTGATTATACACATTCCTGTGCTTTAGTTCACACATTTCAGTTAACCGTTACAGATGGTGCTATGTACCTGCTACAATACCTTTGTCTTTCCACGCTTCTTGGATTGAACAGGTCTGTTTATCTTTCTTATCTTAGTTTTCTCCTTTTTTTTCCCTCCTTCCCGTCACTCTAGTAACCATATCTCCATCTCTATTTTATATATATTGATACATTTGCTCATTCATCTTTTTTACATTATTTTAACTTTTTATTTTCTTATACGTAGTCGGTATTTTTTGATAGATTTTACAATATCTCAATTTTCTATTTATGTCTATTATTTCCTTATATAACTTCATATTCCTTTTTTCTGTTTTACATTTTATTCAAAGATTGTCATTTTTCATTTATTATGTTATCTTATTTTGATTATGTTTATTTCATTAGTACGTGCTCTGTTGCCGTTATTATTGTTTATTTATTTGTTCTCTGTTAATGTTATTATTCTACCTACTTTATTTTTCTTTAGTGTTCACTCTATCTATTTCATTTTACTTTAAGTTTATTCTACCTAAATTTTTTAGTTTATACCTTTAATTTTAATTCTTTATTGTTCAATGTTTATAGTTTCTCATACTTATTCTTGTGTGTTTTTTCTTCTTAGCCCTGATGAAGGCCTGAACTTCGGGCCGAAACGTCGGCAACTATAAAAATAAATATAATTGTAAATAATTATAATAATAAATAATTGCACCGTTTGTAAATAATTACCTGTTTATTTTTACTATCTTCATTTTGAATGATCAGTCCAACCATCCTTCTCTTCAATTAACTAGTGTGTTCAAAGCATTCATGCCTAATAACACACTATTGCGAATGCCCGTATTGTCATAGTGGCATGGGAACGTGGAATATTTAAATAAATAACATTAGTATGGTATGAATGAATGAAAATAATTGTATTATTCTGGGACTAGTGTCCCTATAGAACAAGTTACAAATGCAGAATATATATTAATATTTTGGTGTGTCCATAAAATATAGTAGGTAAATATATAGCAGGTTGATTAGGAATACAATAAAGTTATAAGTAATAAAAATATATAAATACGTGTAAATAAAAAATATACAGAGAAAGTAATTAAGTAAACTAAATATCGATGAATCACAAAGTAATCTGTAAGAGTATCTGGGTGTACTTTGAGGTTTTACAGCTTAGATTTTTAAGGGCATTCCGTGATCAATCAAATTGGGAATGGAGTTGGTGTTTGAAGAGAAGAAATTTGAAAGAGGATATTGATTTTGCGTGTCGAATATCTGAAGGTATAGAGTTCCAGAGGGAGACAACTTGTATTAAAAAAGATTTATCAAACGCAGCAGTTCGGTGAGGAGGAGAGTAGAGGTCGGACGCACGGGATCTGGTGGGACGGGATTGAAAGGAGCGTTTGAATTGTAGGATCTGTAGAATATAGGCAGGTCACCATGTTCTAATGGCTTGGTTTAGGAAGGTAGCAAAGAAATATTGACGGCGGTAGGACGGATAAAGCCACTTCAACTTGGTGTAGAACTGGGTAATAGGCCTATCCCTTGAGATCCCGGAGGTAAAGCGGATTGAGCAATTCATTAAACGTTTAAGTTTAGCTTCGAGTTCTCCCGAGAGTCCACCGTACACCATGCAGCCATAGTCGAACTGGGGGAAAACGAGAGAGGAGACCAGGAGTTGACGGGTTTTGAATGGAAGAAGATATTAGATGGTTAAACTGTTTCAGGGTGGATATAGTACGGCGGGAAATTTGGGAGATGTGTGGTTTCCAGGAGAGGCTTTGATCGAGGGTGACACCTAGGTTTTTAACGGTGATATGGAAGGAGATAGGTGAATTGTTCAGAACAAGATTAGGAGGTGCTGAAATGGATTTGAGGAGTGAGGGGGATCCGATCAGGATGGCTTTTGTCTTCTCCGTATTTAATGTCAGTTTATTAAGATTTGCCCATGCAATTCTATTGATGCAATGCTAAATTCTATTGATGTCTTGTTGCAGTTTCAGGATGGCATTAGAGGAATCTGTCGGGTTGAAGGAAAGATAAATTTGTATAGTTGCGTATAGTTGATATTGACAGTGTTTGATTGCATTGATGTAGATGGAAAAGAGAGTGGGGGATAATGAGGAACCTTGTGGGAGGCCTCTGGATAGAGGTAGAGACATTGATTGAGGGTTATTAGGAACTACAACGTACTAGGAACGATCGGTGAGAAAGGATTGGAATCACTTAAGGGCACTAGTTGGTAAGGATATATTTTTAAGTTTGGTTTGGAGGATATTATGGCCAACTGAGTCGAATGCTTTAGAGAAATCAAGAAGGATCAGGATGGTGAGTTTCTGTTGATCTATGGCTGTGGAGATCTTGAGAGATTTTAATGAGGGCGGAATGAGTGGAGTAGTCTGGTCTAAAACCAGACTGGAAGCAGTTCAAATCATTATTTTGTTCAAGATATTGTGATAGTTAAGATTGTACTATTCGCTCTAAAGATTTGGAAAGGTTAGATAACTAGGAAATTGGACGGAAATCATTAGGGGTTGTGGGATTAGATATTTTGTTCAGAGGACGAACAAGAGCGGTTTTCCAGGTGCTGGGAAAAGTGGAGCTTTGTAGTGAGAAATAGATATCATAAAGGACTGGGGAAATAGATTGAAGTGATTTAATTAATTTAACTGGGATATTATCTGGTCCGAAATCTTTGGTTTGGGATTTACAGATGGATTTAAGGAGGTCGTCAGGGGTAATGTGCGAAAAGAAAAAATGATTGGGATTAAAGGGGGGTGTATTAGGGGTGGAGCTGGTGCTTGGATAGGAGGATCGGATGAACAGGAGACAAAATAAGTGTTGTGTATGTCAGCTGAAATAGAGGTAGTCTGGGTTTGGGTGGATTTGTCTAAGGATAATTTACGGAGGATTGCCCAATTAGCTTTGGAGTTTGGTGGGCTGGATAAGGATTGTTGGTAGCAGTTGGATTTGGCACGGCGTATCATGGATTGCGTACTGTTTCGAAGCAGCTTGAAATTCATGTAGTCTTCGGGGAGTCGGGTGCGCTTAAAATTTCGTCTTGCTGCGTCTCTTCGGTTGATACAATTTTTTATCGCAGGCGTCAACCAAGGGGCTGGTGGTACTTGATTGTCCTGACTTTAAGAGGAGCGTGACGGTCTAGGGTAATGTGAAGTTGATTGGTTAAGGTTTCTACCATAAAATCGACGGAGTTAAAAGAGTATATGGAGTCCCATTGGATTGCGTCAAGATCGGGCATCAAAGTTTCGGATGATAGGAGATTAAGGTTTTTGAAAGATATAGATAGGAATAGGAAGGTTATAGGAGATCTGTATGAGATCGTGAGCAGACAAAAACGGAACCGGGTGCTGTGATGAGGCGAGGAGTTTATGAGGAGATTCAATAATGCAAAGATCGAGCCAAGAGTCTGAGTATTGGGTGTGATGGGTAGGGTTGTACGGAACTATATACAGATTGAGAGAGTAGAGGAGGTTTGATAAATAGGCTTGGTCAGAAGAAGGAAATAATAGGTTGGTATTGAAATCAGTTCGTAGAGGATGGTCTCGAGTGTTTCATCAAAGGGGATTCTAGCAGGTCGGTAGATGACACCAATGAGCAATGAATATGAGGAGGTGGATATTTCAGCAAAAAGATATTCGATATGTGGGTAGACGGAGAGAGGAGACAAAGCAAGGATTTTTGATTCTTGGATTCCAGGCTATCATGAACAAAAATGGCTACTCCACCTCCGATTCTATTTTCTCTATCATGACGGAGTAGGGTATAGTTAGGGAGTGAAACTTGAGAGAATGTGACCGTGTGTTTTAACCAAGTTTCTGAGACAGCGATTAGGTCGTATAAGTTGGGGAGGAAGAAATCATGGAATTCATTTATGTGGGCTAAAAGTGACTGTGCGTTGACATGACAGAATAATAAGACATTAGCCATAGGAGATGGTAGATTGGAATAGAGAATCGGTAGGAGGAGCTTGAGATATGGAAATAATTAGGTTGGATTGATCTAAGATACACCGTGGATGGTGAAACATAAATAGCAATACTATTGAAAAGTAGAAACTAGAAAAAAAAAGGTAAAAGAAATAATCTAGATAGTATCCTATGTATATTGTATATTACATAATATCCTATGTATAGTATCCTAATAAATGGAGATAAAAAAAAAAAAAACAGTAGATCCATACAAACAGAAAACGAAAATATACTTTGGCGAACAATGAGCAATAATACTAAGAAAAATAATAATAAAATTGGCTGTCATATACACATAAACGAAATTGAAAGAAATATTAAACTTATAACAGTTAAGTAAATAGAAGAAAGTTGCTAGAAACTGAGTTAGTGGGTTAAAGGAACGAGAGCAGAGAAGTCAAGTAAAGATGTCAAGGTCAGAAGGTGAATTTATGACTAATACTGGCTGACCGTCGGTTCCCCTACATATCACTTTGCCGTCACCAAACCAGACAAATTTTGTTTTTCCAGCCGCTCTCTTCTGTCTCCGATGAAAATTTTGTGAACATCGTTCTCCTGCCAGCCGATGTGACGAGTAGATAAATCTCTTACCACTTTCCGTTTATGAATCAGCTCATCTCTTAGCGTTTGTCGAACAAATCTGACCGAAATTGTCGAACAAATAGTGGACCAGGAGTGTTATCTTGCCGAGTTCTGATCCTCTCTATGCTGTCTACATCTTCCACCTTTAGGCTTAGCCCTAGCGCTGCGCCCACACTCACCACCAGGCACATTGGAGTTTCACCAGGTCTCACCGGAATTCCTCTAATCTCTGCGGTTTTAACCAGGTGTTGTTGCTCGAATCTGTTTAGCTTTATTTCAAGCTCCGACACTCGTGATTTTAGAGTCGAATTCTCCAAAACCAAGCCATCTATTTTCGAGTTTTGATCTTCTAGGAGCGATTCTATGACTTTTAATTGCTCCAAGTTTTCGAAAGTGATAGGTGTCTGGGTTTCCATTGATGATTTCAAATCCTTCAGGTCGGAGGCATTTGCTTCAACAGAACTTCTCAGGTTCTTAACCTGGTAGGGATCAAATCACATCTCTTTGAATATGGACTAAATTTTCCATCATTTGGGATGAGCCAATACACCTTTATATACAAAGTTATCGAAATACAATATTTCCTAAATTTATACTTTCACAAAGAAATGGAACCTGTCATGGGTAAAATTTTGAGCTAAATATTGAAGAAAAACTGAACCTACGAGGAAAAACATCATATAACATACCTTATGTTTTCTCATAAGTCGGCCACAACTTTAAAAATGTTGATTCTTTAATGGAGTAGCAATAATAGTCATAGAAGTGGTCTCATTAAATTTTAAAAAAGACTATAACATTCAATACCTGATTCGATTGTTAGTTTAAGAAATTTACTTTGCATAAACATATTTATTTATATTTTAGTATATGGACTGTATTTAAAGGTGCATTTAAATATTTTTAAAAATATGAGAAATACAATTATCTACCTTAATTAATAACGACATTAATGCTAAAACTACCTTTTTTTATTTCTCTTGTTACCGACAGGGGATGGAAAACATAAAAAACAAGAAACAAAATCACCAACATAGATAAAAACCATTTAAATACTTGTGTTTCCCATGGTTTGTGAAATGTAAAAAATTTATCTTCAGAAAAAAAGTTCTGATTCAGTATAGTTCAATGTTATAACAAGTTCTTGAATAAGCATTATTATCTTCCTGGTTTCCTGCAATCCTATTTGCAAGTCGGTCAGCTGAGCAAAAAACACTTACCTAGTATTGTGTTGGAATATTTGGGAGCTGGATTTTCTGTTCTTTCCTTGGAGGAAAGCCTTTGAATTCTTCCTGTTTAACAGGAGAGAACAATCGAAATAATTTTATTTCATTAAATTTTGATGACACAGAAGTCAGAAACTCGAGAAACTGTTTATTCAATTTTGCTAAAAAAATGGATTGAGTTCCTTTCTTAATTTATTTATTACAAAAAAAAAAGAAAAACTTGTTTTCAACTTGTTTAATCATAGTCATAGAAAATATATCATAGAGAAAATAACACACATTTAATAAAATATAATTCAACTAATACTTAATATTAAAGACTTGAGAAAAAAATAATTTTTCTGAGGAGAAATGACGTCATTGCCCGGGGGCGCCAAATGTTTTCAGCCGGCACAGCAACAATATTTAAATAACAAATGTTAAAATGAATACTTTTGTATTATTCTTACCTTACCGAATAATTCAGCAGATTGGTCAGAATTTTTACAGTTTTAAATATACTTTAAAAATAAAAGATGATAAAATAAGAATTAAATAAGATGAAAAGATACTAGTAACTAAAACATTTAACAGATAATGGTAATCAATATGTTATTCACGAGAACTGTCCAATTTTTTTTTTGTAATCAACAATAAGTGATAAGGAAAAAAGGTATTATTTTTCGAATCCTCATTGAAATTTAAGTAAAGATCATTTTACAAGTATCAATATTATTAATCACGATTAATTAATTATTTTTTATCAATGGCCAAGTTAGCATAACTCAAGGTCCAGGAATATCATTAATAAATTTATTACATTCTTAGTTTTTTGATCTTCCTTACGGCGATTCATTTATGGGTTAGTGCAAGGTACGTTTACGTATTTCACAAACTATAGGAAATATAAAAATTGTGTTTGTACAAAAGAGTTACTGAGAAGCAAATAAAATCTGTTTATTAAAGGAAAGCAAATAATGAAACGAGGTACAAAATGAAATAGATTTTAGCTAACATTCACGTCACTTTAATTTAAACTGAAACATATAATTGTTATATCGAAATTTCTTCTTTAAAGACACATAACACTTAAGACGAAGAATATTCAATATGTAAGATGTTAAATAGAATTATATTTATATATATATACACTATTTAATTATTATTATTGTTAATATAATAGTTCCTGCCGGACACATACAAATATGCATACTTAAGGTTAGCATGTTAAAAAATTATGTCTTTACCCTGTCATATTTCACCATTGTTTCCTAATACGAAGTCATTAATTTTTATTGTTAATAAATTCAATATTGAAATAATGGACATCATTTTATTGATTTGCGGTTGCTGGAATTGAAACTTTCACCCGTTACAGTTGACATATGGTACTTTTGTAGCTCATCAGTTTTGAATTTCTTATCATTCTATTCTGCATTATTACTAGTCAATATATGCATTTATTGTAACAAATACAATCTGCATTTCATAAAAGTGGCACTTCATACCTCAAGAGAACCTTTAATTACCTCCTAATGGAAGGTTTTGATGGGTGTGTGTCCTTTTTTATCTGTCTAATATAATATATTTGAAGTCATATTTTGCTTTATTGTTCATTATTTATTAAAAAGTGTTTATATAAAGATTTGTTATATTTTTCCAGTTTTGGTGTTATAAATATTTCCTAGTTGTTTTGTCAATGACTTAGCTTTTCAAACAAATTGAGAATTTCATGATGACAGTAAATATGTATATAATTCTTGTCATATTTTCTGTATTTTTTATTGTTGTGTAATCAGTAACTGATAAGAAATTTAGTCCCAGTGTTGTTTTTAGATGCTTTGCCTGAGACCTATTTTATCTAAGGTATTATTGGGATCATTGAACAGTTGTACAGTTACAAAGCAGTTACGAACAATGTCTTCTCTTGGGAACAAGTTTGCCTTACCCGATAAATATAAGGGATCAGTGACAACTGTGTGGTAAGTTGTATTTCCTTAGATGTGTTTTAAACATTGCATTTAATAGTTAGTATTGTTTTAATTATTGTGTAAAATTTATTAATCTAGGATCAAAGTTAATTGATGGCTAGGGGATAGTAAAAAAATTGAAAACTGTTTAAATTTTAAACATCTTTGACTATTACAATTAATCATCTTTGACTGCAATCCAACACTAGCTTAACTATTGTTAGAACTTTAATGTTAAAATATTACAAATCATTCAAGTTTGAAAAACTAAATGCTTTTATTTATTAATAATTTATATTGAAGTGTTAAAGATATGTTTTATTAGCCATTACTATTATGTAATGTTTTCCTCAATGTTCACAAATGAAAAATGGAAGATAAAGGTGATATTTTCAAGCTTATTTAAATGTTGATTGATCCTATTGATTTATTTTCATAACTCCCTTAATACTTTCATAACATTAGCCATTTTTCTGCTTCAATTATAGGCTATTAATTAACACTTTATGTTATTTTTCATATTGTCTTGATACTGTACTAAATTTGATGTTATTTAAAACAATAAATTTTCATGAAGATATTTATATTACTCTCATCAAGTGATATTTCAAATATATTTTACAGGGCTGAATTTATCCAATTAGCATTAGAAGTTAAGCCTCTTAATTTAGGACAAGGTTTTCCAGATTTTGCTGCACCAGAAATAGTTATAAAAGCCCTAAAAGATGTTGCTAATTCAGATAATGTATTATTACATCAGTATACACGAGGCTATGTAAGTATGTATGTTGAGATATACTTGCTCCTTGAGATGAAATACTGTCCTAACTAATTTTTAATCTTGATTACCACTTTATAAAAGATTTTAATTGAATAAAATATTTTCTTACCATAGGGACACCTCCGATTGGTTAATGCATTGAGTAAACTATACTCAAAGAAAATCGATAGAGAATTAAATCCTATGACAAATGTTATAACAACCGCAGGTGCCTATGAAGCATTGTATTGTGCTATTCTTGGTCATGTGACAACATGTGATGAGGTTATTTTGATTGAACCATTTTTTGATTGCTACGAGCCTATGGTAGATGCAGCTGGTGGAAAATCAGTTTTTGTCCCTCTAAGGCCAGTAAGTAATGAAACTTTTTCATTAAGTAAACCAAGAATAATATTAGGGTATGCTATTAGTTTGTAGATTGCAAAAACTATTGATAATAGTGGCTTCCTGTTATTTATGAAATTACATTATTGCTTTTGGATGAAGTGGAGATTTCTTTCTGAATTTCCTTTAAAAAAATCTGTACTTCAAAACTTTCATTCTTCTTTCCTTTACAATGATGAACTTCTAATTTTTTAAATTCATATTTTGTGAAAAGATGCTGAACTGCAATTTTGGCTTTTGTTAAGGATTGCTTTCCTTTTTAATGAAATAAAATATATGTCAATCAATGGAAGTTAAATTACTTTTAAATTTATTAAAATACTCTTAACTTATTCTAATAACTAGAGCTGTCATTTGGGTTGTAGGCACACGGGATGTGATTTGATTTTACTCAGAAGCCCCACCTCCTAAATCAGGCAATAGCCTATTTTCCAGGGCTTGAAACAGAAAAAAAAATTGTTATTCTTAAAAATTTTTATTGCCGATAGTTTTCAGTTCTTTTGGAACTAGGAATTTTTTCCTTCCAAATTTTCAAGTAAACGTTTTACTGAACTTTTATTTTTTTAAATTTTTATTTAAATTTTGTTCATTTAAAACGTCAATCTAAGAAATGGCTTTCACTAATAGCTACCAAAATAAACAACAAATTAGAATAATTTTTAATTCATTTAGGACAAATTATAACTCTAATCTAAGCCTAATTACTGTTTATTTTTCATTTAACAGAACCTATTTTAAGGACTTGTATAAATACAAATTAAACTTTTACCATAAATCTGGAAATCATAAATAAGTTCCTCAGAACTTTTATGTTTAGAAGTTCCTCCTTAATAATTTTTTTCTGTGTTATTTCTATATCGCCACTAAATAATTCAATATTTTTAAGATAAGATAATATGTACTTTATCTCTAGGCTTATTGATCAATTGTAATCTGAGCCAACTATTGACTGAAAGTAGGAAATATTAAATGATTATTAAAAATATATCACTTTACACGTTTATCCTTATTAATTATTTTATTATTGCTAAGTATAAACACACAACCCTTCAAATGTGATTACTGTTGAATAATTATTAGTCATATATCAATTGAAAATGATACTTAATAATTATGAATGATTGCTCTGAACTTATGAGTATCTACATAAATATTTATAAGCTTTTGGGTTAGTGGTTATGTATCCTAGGTTTTATTTTGATTTAGTAGGGTAAGTTTAGTATATTGACTTATAGTGAATCTGTTAAACTTACTCTACAAAATCAAAAAAAAAAAAATATAACTTACGACAATCAACTAAAATTCTACAAAATATTACAGAAGTGTATTATAATTTTCGTCTCTTATAGACCCTCATTTCTTCATTTCAATGTTTATTTTTTCAAACTGTTGATAGTAAAAACTAGAAGTATCTTAATGTTTACTGTTTTTTTTTAATACTTTTTATAATTAGATTTTTTTTTTTAAATTAGGCAAAAACAAGTGGCACAGTTTTATCAAGCGATTGGAAACTTGACATTAATGAGCTCACTAGTTGTTTCACTGAAAAAACTAAAGCAATTATTCTTAATACTCCTCATAACCCATTGGGAAAGGTCTTCACATATGAGGAGCTGACTGTTATTGCTGATTTGTGTAAAAAGTTCAATGTTCTTTGTATATCTGATGAGGTTTACGAATGGATGGTGTATGAACCGTACCAGCATATTCGAATAGGTAAGATTTTATATATTGAATTACCCTTTGCAAAATAAGATTTATATTTATCGGCCATGTATTTTCTATATCTGACAGTTATCAGGAATGCATGGTTGATCTGATTTATTTTTTATTTAGTTATTAAATAAAATCATTTACCATCATCTTCTACTTCTCCTATTATCTTGTTAGCTTTATTGGTATTTCTAAACAGTGTACTGGGATCATAGTGGCCTTTATTGTGGCCTTAGCTTCTCCTTTTTCTCATTAAAATTTTTTTTTTTTTTAGCTACTCTTCCTGGAATGTGGGAGCGCACAATTACTATAGGATCTGCTGGAAAAACGTTTAGTGTGACTGGATGGAAAACTGGGTGGGCATATGGTCCTGAAAACCTAATTAAAAACATGCAAGTTGTCCATCAAAATATTCTCAATTCAATCAACACTCCTGCTCAGGTAAGAAAGGCATACTCATTTATGAGCTTATTTTTTTAAAAAGATAATTTCTAATAATAAAAACACACATTAGATCCAAATAGTTCTACTTTATTTTTGCTTTATAATCGATGTTTCAGCTCTTAGGCCATTTTCAAGAGATACCTTTTTTATATTAAAATAAGGTTTTGGACGGAGAGGGGGAGGGTGCGGTTTTTAAAGGAAAATACCAAATCCTAACTATGAACATGCTAATTCACTCAGCCTCATCATTCCTTTACTAAATTCCTTCCTTACCAATGTAGGCATAGGACTTGGGAGGTCTGAACTATGGTAGTCTGTGGTGATTGAATAAAGAAGCATAAACTGACCACTGCCGAGTATCTAGTCATATCACATTAAGAAAAGATCTTTGAGGGTTCAATCTTTGAGAATCAGCTGAGTTATGATTGAGCCAGAAGATTAAATAGATTCCTTTGTTTTTGATTGAATTTTTAAAAGGTGTGAGAATTGTGCCCAACATGAATTTTTAAAAGGTGTGAGAATTGTGCCCAACATGTAAAAATTGTATTCATAAAAAACATGTGTAACCTCTCTATCTTGCTGCTGTGTTTAAAAATAATTTGTTATTAAAAAAAGGCAATTTTACCTGATATATATTTATGGTGGATTTCTAGCCTGGTTTTGTGGAAAGCAGAGCAGATCTCTCTGAAAAACATATTTTGAAACTGAATGTTTAGTTTTGCAGCTAAGTGTGGTAGATAAATTTAGACTGATATTATTACCCGAACTTCTTCAATATATTTACTGTTGAGAAATAAGATTCAATAAATGACTTTTTTTGTAATAACCAATGGTTTTTCTATATAGGATATATGGTTTAAATATATATATATATATATAAATATATATATATATCTTTCAACGCCTGTAATATATATGTATATATATATATATATATATATATATATATATATATGTGTATATATATATATATATATTAGGTAATTAGGTAGGATATTCTTGGTTTCCCAATATATTAAATATGGATGGCAGTTCATAAGGCCCTTGCTTTTCTTTAATGTTAAACTCCAAATCCATTAGCTATCATAAAAATTAACTTATTAATTATGTGATTTATGTATCATTTATTTCTATTTTAGGAAGCTATCGCCATTGGCTTAGAACATGAGATTAGCAAGATGGGTTCTCCTGATTGTTATTTAGTGAGCCTTGCCCGTGAGCTCAAAGATAAAAGGGATTATATGGCTAAATTTTTAACTGAAATTGGAATGGTTCCAATTATTCCTGAAGGTGGATATTTTATGGTTGTTGACTGGACGCCCTTAGGTAATGTATTGATTCTGATTTTACTTAATATTTTATAGTATATAGTATATTAATATTAGTCATTTTTGTGGATTTTTGGTTGACTGTAGTGAACAATTGAAAAGAAGGATGGTTGGAGTGATCATTCAAAATAAAAAATAGTAAAAATAAATAATTATATTTGTTTTTATATTTGCCGACTTTTCGGCCCGAAGTTCAGGGCTGTTCAATCGAAGAAGCATGGAAAGACGAGGAAAAATCCTAACTATAAACATGCTAATGCACTCAGCCTCATCATTCCCTTACTAATTTCCTTCCTTACCGATGTAGGCATAGTCTGAACTATGGTACTAGCATTGTCAGTCTGTGGTGATTGAATAAAGAAGCATAAACTCACCACTGTCGACTATAAGTTCCTGATGAAGACCTGAACTTCGGGACGAAATGTCGGCAAATATAGAAATAAATATAATTATTTATTTTTAATATTTTTTATTTTGACTGATCACCCCAACCATCCTTCTCTTCAATTAATATTAGTCATTTTAAAAACAATTTTAGTCATAGAAAATCTATTTTAAATGACTGTATTTTATCATTTAAAAACAACCATATTATTTACAATATTGATTTACTAATTCCTTTGCAGCTAGCAAAGTAGGATTAGATCAAGAGAGCGACAGATACAAGGATTACCGTTTTGCTAAGTGGACTTCAAGAAACTTAAAAGTACAGGGTATTCCTCCATCTGCCTTTTATAGTGTACCGCACAAGCACTTAGGAGAAAATTATATTCGTTACTGTTTCATTAAGGTAAATTTTTATTTCGTTCATTTGATGAATTTTGATTTTAATTGGTAGTTGTTATTCATTTAATAGTATGCATTGAGATTTTTTATTGATTTAAGATTCAATAAGTGGAATTAAAATACCTTGATTATTTCATCATTGTTTATTTCAATATTTATCCCCTCTCTTCTTATTTAACTTTAGCCATTTTTTAATAAGTTAATCTAAATTTTATATTTAAATTAAATGTTTATTTGGATAACATAAACTTGGCTAAAGCTAAACTAATAATTTTTTCTTTGATTTCATAATATAAAGAAAAACAATATCAGTGTGATCCAAGTTTTGTTTAAATATTTTTTCTTTTCTTCTTTGTAAAGTACGCCATTTTAGGTTGAGATTTATTTAGAGAATGGTTTAACTCTGGTTAATATAATACCTATGCTTGGGCTTGCTAATAATTTGGTACTGTTAAGGGAATATGTGCCGATTATTAATATTGAATACATTGATGAAGAAGCTAAGTAATGAATTATGGTTCAAAATGAGTATGGATAAAAAAAAAAAGTATTGGCTCTATGGTGGAAAAGTTTATTTCATTGATCTAGTTATCACTAGGATATGTAGACTCTACAGTATCCACAGGAAACAAAGCAAAAAGCAATAAAAGCAGGATTAAAATTTGGAAATTATTCTTATTTCTCTGATGCAAAGTTACTGAGTTTGCATCTGTTGTACTTTGTTTCTACCGAATGAATATTTGAAGCATTTCCTCCATGAAATTTCTGATTATAAATAATCAGAAAATATGTATTAAAATATTTGAAACTGAAACTTCGTAAATAGTTTCGTCTTGTTGTAATCTACAACTATTTTATGTACGAAAACTCTTGGAATTGGGACGTTTTCAATCTGAGGGGGGGGGAGCAAAATTTGTCTATTTATTTAGGTACTAAAAACTCGTAAATACTCATTTCCTTTCTACTTGAGTCTTAAGATAATTTGATCACGAAATCGAGAAAAAAGGTACCCCGCAAAAATATTGGGCCGTTTGTCCTATATAACATCGTTATTTTGAAAATTTGGGGGTTTAGGTGTACATGAAAAATTCAGTTTAAACATAACCCTAGAACGCAAACAGGAGTAAAGGATATACCATTACTAATTATATATAAGATTCACATAAAAGAAAATTGAGAATGTTGAAAAAGAATATTGAGCCGTTTGGTGTGACCTACACTCCCAAAATTTCAAAGTAACGAGGTTATATAGGACAAACGGTCCAATATTTTGTAGGCCACCTTTTTTTATCTATTTTGTGATCAAATTATCTTACTATCCAAGTAAAAAGCAAATGTGTATTTACAAGTTTTTAGTATCTAATTAAATAGACAAAGTTAGCCCCCTCCAGATTGAAAACGCAACAATTCCAAGAGTTTTCGTAAATAAAATAGTTGTAGTTTACGATGAGATGAAACTATTTACGAAGTTTCAGGCAGATGTTAATAATTCAGTAAAAAGGGGTCTGTACCACTGACTATAACTTTTAAGTGGTTATTTATTTCAGCCATATAAAGAATACTACAAAATTGTTGTAGATCCTCTTTGTTTGTAGACTCTTCAAATGTTTATGTTGTTTCTAGTTATTTTGATTAATTTGTCATTTTATTTTATTTTTTGCAGAAAGATGAAAACCTACAGAAAGCTGCTGATATTCTGAAGGCATGGGCAGATGGATCAAAATTGTAACTTTATTAATGTTTTATTCGAAGGAATATTTATTTCATAATTTCTTAAATATCTGCAGCATTTATTTAAATTTCAAGGTTTCAACATTCATGAATAGATGAATGTTTTTTATTCAGGTAAATGTGCTTTAAGCGATTATTTCGCATTTCTTAAGTTCTCGTTATAGGTTTTCCATTTCTGGCGGGGGCATTAAAGTTATCAGTACTTTGATATACCCTGTAGAACGCCAATGTTAATATGTACGGTTGTGAAACAGAAAATTTGTACCAATCCTTCCATCCACCTCTTCAGCTATGGCCAGATTAGTACTCTATCTATTGTTTTCTGTTTTTCAGAGTTGATATTTATTATATCAACCAAAATAAATCCCAAATAATTGATCGTAATACATATTCCTCTGAATATGAAGCTTATATCTTCATAAAAACATTTCAGCTAACTAACGCTGAATTTCCGGTATATAAAAACATTTTATTTCTTTTATGTGAATCTATATATAATATATATATATATATATATATATATATATATATATATATATATATATATATATAATATATATATATATATATAATTAGTAATGGTATAACCTTTACTCCTGTTTGCGTTCTAGGGTTATGTTTAAACAGAATTTTTTATGTACTTTTTTTTTTTTTTCATAAAAAGTGTACTGAAATAAAATCATTGTTATGATTTATTTATTACACTGTTGTGTGTATTTTCATATCTATGTTAGTATCCTTTAATTATTAATGTAATTTGATGAATGCTGTAAATCTACTTCTATGTGATGATAATTGTTATTAAATGAGGAAAATATAAAAAAGTTATCCAAATTATGATTTGGAAGTGTTAAAACTGTGATTACTTCTTTGTAAAAGAATAAAAAGATTATTTTTTTTTTTTTTTTTTTTAGCTTGTATATTCCTATTGTTTCCCATGTTTACTTTTAATACCCAAAAGAATTACTGTATTCTCTAGAAATTATTTAATTGTTCCATACTTTTATCAATTATGTTAAAAATACCTGTTTGCATTACATCTTTGATCTGTGAAAATAACTGGGTAAATAGAAAAATGGATCGCATGATAAAGTGAAGAAGTTGGTAACTCCTTGGTACGAGTTAGGAATAAAACATTCTGATAATTTTGAAAATGGCTCATTCCGTTCTCCTTTGGAATTTGTTCTATTCCATCTTCGTTCCTAGATAGAAAATAATGAACCAGATACACATAATACTTAAACATACTCAGCAGATGGCAACATACTCAGCACAAATATATCCTATCAAGCGGTGGTTTTCTTAGCAGAATAATAACCCAAATTTATACTTCATCGGCAAAGCTATTATGTTGATAAATGAACAATGGATTCAGTTTTTCGGCTCATAAAGAATAACCAGTTGTATTGAAATTCCAATTTTTAGTAATTTGTATTGATTTATATTTTGGTTTTAACTTTGTACTAAATTTTATAATTTAAATTTGTTTGTATTGTCTTGATTTTTATTCGTATAATTTTGCAATAAAACACTTTTGTTAGTAATATTCACTTCTCTTTTACTTAGTTAATTTAAATAATCTAAAGTTTACAACTTTAACCTAAAAACAACACGTAGACACTTAACTCAGTTAAAAGTATATAATTTAGGCTATTCATCTAAAATCATTTAAAGGATCAGCCCTGATGGCCTGAAAATTGGGCCAAATCATCGACACAACGTAAATTAATATTTTTGCGTGTACTTCTGATTACTGTTCTCTACATCCAAATTCTCTTATAAAACAAAATATTATAATTATGCTAAACAAAAAGCTGGAAATGTTGCCTTGAACCAATATAAGTCCGCTCAATTTGACCAGTGGTATAAACCACTTATTTTGTTCTTGACTGTTTCCTGGTGAACTATTCCAAAGGTGGAATTATTTTTTGGAACCGATTCAAGATCATGATGTTACATCCATATTACAAAACCTAAGTTTTGAACAGAATGAGACGGCACATTCAGTTTCATTTTCATTCCATCTATCACACCTACAAAATCGGGTAGGGAGGGAGAAATTGGTCCTAATTTATTATGAAACACCCACATTATAAACTTATTGATAAAAATAAATAATTTTTCAACATTAAAAAATATTGATATGTATTATTTCGTAGTACCTATAAGCAGATAAAAAAAAAAAATAGAATGAAATACAAAATCTGAGGGTTTATAATCGCTAATACTTTGTGTAACTTTCATTGATATGAAATCTTCCGTGACGAATTTCATTGGCATAACAGAATCATATTTTTATATTTAGCAATCTAAAATTATTTGATTAAATTAATTATATTTGTTCGAATTTATCTGAATATTGTCATTTTAGTTAACATTTCTTAATCGCTGTATTAAATTCATGATTTTGATTATATTACATTCATTATTCAATTAGATGGTATTTTTGTTTCTAAGAAGACTAAATTAAATATAAACATTATGGTTCATTTTTGAAGAGAACCTATTTTAAAATTCTGCTTCTGCAGCAACTTTGTCTCCCTAATTTCTAGAATTCTCTTCTGTACCATTTTTGATTCTTCTCCCTAACACTTAACAATCAAATCCTGAAGACGTTCATGTTCTGACTTTAGATCACATTCAGGCAGAACAAACCGCCTATGACCTTATTCCATTTTAATAGTGAAGTCCATTCTATGAATCGTTCTTAAAATGGTCCATCCCTACTCACAGTTTTTTTAATGTTCTCTTCATTAACATTTTTTCACAAATGGTTTTGGAAGTTTCAATCATAACTTAGGAAAACATGATATCGCTTTCAGGAATAAGTGAATAAAATAAAATTAAAATGAATCTAGAATTACCATTACTTTGCAGCATAGATGATTAGTACTGCATTGAACTATTTTAAATAATCTAAATCTTTTATCTTACCCCATTGATTGACAACTTAGATTGAAAATTTTAAATTAAAAAGAATATATTCTGTTTGTTATAAAAAATTATTTTAAATATTTTATTGTTATTCCAGGAAAATGAAAAATTGAAGAAAGCTGCTGATAATCTAAGTCATTGGAAAATGCATGAAGTTAAAAAAGTTTACTTTAATTTTTTTAAAACATGCATCATTTTTTTAACTTTCAAGGAAGTATGGTCTTATGATCATTATTTATTCAGAAAAATCTCCTTTAAGCCATCGTTTTGCATTTCTGGAGTCAGCTCCATAGGTTTTCCCACTCCTATTGGAATAATAAATTTATTAATAGTTATCTGTTGCACAAAATTTTTCATAGGCCTAAATATATTAGTATTTATTTTTCCTTCAAAAATTTACTCAAATGAAAATTGTTATCATTTATACCTTGTTTATATTGTATTATATCTCGCTATCAAACAACATATGGCTATATCTATGGTCGATATACTTTATCCGTTATTATTCATACAATATTTGTATTGATATATGATGATAATTGTTATTAACCCAGAGGAGCCACTAGGAGTCCCAGGGACTTACAGGGTTCATTTGATTAGTTACGTCGGCAAGACTAAAAGTTATAGGGAAACAATAATTACAATAATAATCCTCAACCTGTTAAGGTTTAGCTGTAAAGAAAGGCTGGTACTGTCTTCCAAAGAACCACGTAAGAATTTATTTTTTAAAATTTACTAGGTCCATGTGACTTTTATATAATAACAGGCATCTATAGACCATTTACCAACATGTACTTAATAATTTCTCATTTTTCACTCCATTATTTAATAATATATTTACATTATGCCTCTTCCTTGAATCTCAATGCTTCTTTTGTTCAACAAATGATTTACTTCTATTACTTTATGATTTAATTTTTATTCTTCAGCATATTATTTTCTTTCTTGTCTCACCATATTTTTAAGATTAGTTAGAAAAAATAAGTTTGATTTTTTTTGACAGGATTAAGGGTTGAAAGAACAATTGGTCCATATTTAATAATAGGGTATATAAAAAAAAAATCGTTTTTCAACCAAATATTTGTATTATTATTTATTTGATATAAAATACAATTAATACTCAAAGTATAGTCCATTGTTATCTACCGTCAATAGCCATCTGCTAGCTAATTGCTCGATCACACTCTGATACCATGGTTGTCAAAGAAATCTTGGATTGCAATTACAACTTCCACAAAATTATCAAATTTTTTTCCTCGAAATGGGCCATGGATCTGAATAAGTAGTAATCCATGGTGCGAGGTCTGGACTATTTGGTAGACAAGGCGGGAGTCTCATACCAGAAGGGTTTTTCAATAAATTTTCACAAATATCTAACGTCTTAGCTGATTGCTGAGGAGTAAGTTCGTGAGTGACCAGTCTACTTCTCTTTTTCACCTTTCCTATGCAGAGTAGATGGTGACTAACAGAATCTTTCGACACAGCACACTTCCTGGGAAGTTCGCGAGTACTCGTGGACTGATTTGACTCAACAGCTTCCTGCAGAACCTCATCAATATCCATTAATGGTCGCCCGTAGCCCTTCTTCCTTTCCTACATCGTATCTTCATTGCTAAATTTTTCAAACCAACTCTGCATAGTGCGCTGGTCAAGGACACCTTCCCCTTCATATTTAATAATTTCATGGTAGATGGTTCAGGATTGATTTAAAGTAAAGTAAACTTCGTTGTTTAAATTGTAAGCGTTTTCAAAGTGTGAAACATGTTTCAATAACTCAAGGGATTATACCATCACTTTAGATTTGTATTAATTATACTTTATTGATATATTTTAATAATTATACTGTTTTTTTAGCACACCACTTGAGACCTCAAGTAAATGTGACACATTAAAAAATACATATTTTAAAATTATTTTTTTATTAAAATGTAGTTAGATTGTAGAAGATGTTTACTCAATAAGTTTTTCCTTAGAATATTTCTGAAAAGTTGGCTTGTACTAGCCCTTAATTTATATTGTTCTCAGGTTGTGGTATATACTTCACATTATCCTATTTGTACATTTCCATGAACTTTCTTGTTACAATAATGAATCATAAATGAGTCTTGCCTGCGCTTTGGATAGACAGAATGATATAGTGGCTCCAGCGGGTCAAATGAAGAGATTATAAGTAACTACAGCCATTACCATTGATCCAAAAAAGTCTTGGTGAGGGAGGGTATCTCTCAATATTTATCTATCTCTCAATATTTAATAATCCAATTAAGATTTTAATTCTCCTTTTTAAAAGAATATAAAGTTTGTTTGACAATGTTTTAGTTTTTTGTGCAATCAATTCTATTTTTTTAAATGTTCTCCACTAACATCCAAATATGAATGAATGAAAAAATAATTTTATTCTAGGATTAAAGTCCCCTAAGAGTAATAATAACATGGTACAAAACATTGGTCCATTAGTCTTGTTTGACAAAATACTAAGAGGTCATTTGAATGTTAATTTCAATTGCTATCGCAATCATGCTTGTATAACTATAGTAAACAATGTAAAACTAGTACATTTTATATGGTTTACATGTATACAAAGAAAATGTAAATGAATAAATGAAATGGAACTTGTCAATTAATTGTTACTGAGCAGTTGTAATTACAGAATCCAACAAGTATTACATAGTTACAGAAGTTTGAAAATGAAGGTGGTGGAATAAAAGTTTGAAGGAATTTAAGAATGAGGATAGGTAAAGAATTCCAGAAGGAGGTAGCACAAATGACCAAGGATTTGCTGAAGGAAGTAGCTTTATGAGAAGGGATATATAAATCGATATGTTGAAATCTGGTATGAAGAGTAGAACTCCAGTATACAACTAAGGTCATTATGAATACCAACTATTACTTAAAACTGTGGAGTTTCTCACCTGAAAATATTGCCAGGTATATGACCTGTATAGTTCGGAACCATGCCAATGTGTTTGTGATAAATTTCATTAGAAGATACAACTAAAGGAGGCTCTGCTTGTATGATGTTGACTGGCGTCCATTCGTTACTCTTTCGAGTATGGTAGTAAGATGTAAAATCACACAAGCCGGAGTTAGTTAGTGGAGCATAACCTTGTCCATACTTAGAATAGCCGAACGGCACGTGACCAGTATATCCTGAAATTATCAGATATAGTAATTAATATCTGAATAATATTATATGAATCATAAAATAAGACTCTAATCAGAAGTATTTCAATCAATTCTCATTATTCCAATCTTAGAATTATGTTGGAGTTCATCACTACCTTAAAGTTTTAAAATTGAAGTAATTTTGTTTTTCTCATTATCATATTCAGTTAGAACCTATCAGTCTAGAACAAATGATTACAACCACTCTTGCTCTTTGGATATGTCTTTTTCAATTTTGTACAAGTCTTCCCTTCTATCTTGCTAATAGATAACCAACCTTTGGCTTTATATTAGTGGTTGGGCTGCAATAGATTTTTTTATTACTTGATCCCCTTGCTTGCTCTACAAACTGACCAACCAATTCTACAAAAGTTTGCAGAGGGTATTTCAGTATTCTTCAACATCCTCTTATTTATCCATTTTTATAGTATCTTCCAGTTTTTTTGATACTTGTTGTCACTTTGTTTTTAATGACTTACACATGAACCGACTCCATGGTAGAAGAGCTAGATTGTTCTCCACAATGAAAATTGAAATGTGAGAAAAAAAAAGGAAATATATTTCTGGAATGGAAGTTTTGAAGCAGGAAACATTATTCTAAGCGAAAAAACTATAAGGCAGACTTAAGCAGTATTTCATGTAATGCATTTTAAAATAAAGTATAAAATACGTTTTTTGTATTTTAAAAAGTAAAATATAAAATAGACTGTTAGTAATTGTATTTTCTTTTTAAAATGCAAACAAATTATTTGTATTTTATTTCTAAGATACTAAAGTACAAAAAATGTGGAATATCTTGTATTTTGAAAAACACAAAATAAATTATCAAATAGAATAGGTTCTATATATTATATACTGATCATCCTATAGAAAGTATTTTGGTAATTATAATACAAAATACTTTCAGTATTTTCTATTTGAAATACATTATCTGAAAACAATTTAAATACTTTCTTATTAAAATACACTGTATTTAAAAACACAAAATACATGGTATTTGAAAAATACAAAATATGTTATTTTAAAATAATATTTAAAATATATTTTTCTTAGGTGGGGTATAAGGTAATCAAGTGGTGTGAGTTAGCTGCTGGTAAGTCTTGAGTAATCCTGTCTCCCAATCTCCTGATGTAGCTCTGCCCCCACCACTTTTCTTTAATGCTAAGTATTTATTTAAATAAGCATATAAGAAGTTGGGAGTTTTTGCATTTTATAGTATAAAAATAAAAATAAATAAAAAGGCTTAGCGAACCCGAAGGTTCGATGCCGACACCACCAATCGCTTATTGCACACCTCCCTCCATCGTTCGCCGTCCAAACCCAGTCCCTTCAGATCGGCTTTAATGCAATCTTCCCATCTTCGCTTCGGTCTACCCCTCGGACGCTTACCATTCGGCACAGCAAATATTAGCCTTTTAGGAATTCACTCGTTACTAAGTCCAACAACTTTACAAGCCCATTTGATTCGCCGCGATGAAATTATCTCAATTATATTACTCGGATACAGTTCACGCAATTCGGCGTTGTGTAACCGTCTGAACTCTCCAGTTAACTCATCCTTCTTAGGTCCGAATATTCTACGCAATACTTTATTTTCAAAAACCTTAAGACGCTGCTCATCCCTTAATGTAAGCGGCCAAGTTTCGCAACCATAAAGAACTGTAGGCAAGATAATTGTTTTATAGATTCTAATTTTTAAGTTTCGGGACAAGAGGCGTGAACTTAGTAGTTTTGTCACAGAAAAATAACAAGCATTTCTCGCCTTCAGTCTAACCTTAATTTCTTCTTCAATTTCGTTTTTTCTAGTTATCGTAGAACCTAGATACCTAAACTTATCTACTTGTTCAAACATATTATCATCTATATCGATATCACCAGTAGTATCGCCATTTGTGCAGCTAACCATATATTTTGTTTTATCCACGTTTATTTAGAGTCCTAGTTCTTTACCGGCTTTCATTAACGTTGTATTTAGTTTTATAGTTTCAAGGTCTTCGCTTAACAGTACCAGATCATCCGCATAGCCCAGCACGGATGTTGTCCCACTCAGATCCAACCCTTTCTCGGTACGCATTACCTCCCTAATGGCATGTTCTAATGCCAAATTGAACAGGACAGGCGAAAGGGAATGACCCTGTTTTAAACCCGAACGAACCTCAAATTTTTCGGACAAATTATAACCGATTCTAACTTTATTGAATGTCTCCGTCAAGCACATCCTGACTAGATTTACTAATTTTTTAGGAATCCCATGCTTGATTAGAATATTATACAGTTTCTGGCGGTCAATAGAATCGTAAGCCTGTTTAAAATCTATATACAGCTGGTGAACAATACCGTTGTACTCCAATTTTTTTTCTAATATTTGCCGTAAAGAAAATATTTGATCAATAGTCGAACGATTCCATCTAAATCCGCATTGGTAGTCTCCGATAATTTCCTCGGCGTATTCCGTGATTCGACTGGTTAAGATTAAAGTAAATATTTTATAACATACCGGAAGGAGTGAAATTCCTCGATAGTTATTACAATCCGCCCTCGGACCCTTTTTGTGAATCGGAATAAGAATAGATTCTTTCCATTCTTCAGGTAATTTCTCATTCACCCAGATCTTTTTAACCAACCGATGTATTTTAGAAACTCCAGCTTCCCCGCATGCCTTAATTAGTTCAGTAGGAATATTGTCGTTCCCGCTGCTTTATAAGATTTTAATTTTCCGATAGCTAATTCAACTTCCTCTTTACTCGGTCCTTCTATCAACGGTTCAGCACTCTGGTACTCAGAAGGAGGACACAGATCATAATTTCCCGTATTTAAAATATTGTCAAAGTGGTCCTTAAATTTATTCAATATGTCAACCGGATCGGTCAGAATATTGTTATTATCATCCCTAATTCCAGATGTTACGGACCCTACACATTTACGTGATCTGTTTATACCTTTGTACATGTCTCTTACGTTATTTTCGATTCTATTAGTTTCTATTTCAATTATTTTATTTTTAAGATACTCCCTTTTTTTATTTTTGAGCAATTTTGTCGTTTCGTTCTTTGAGGTTCGGAAGTATTCCAGATTGTCTTCGCTAGGATTATTTAGAGCTTTTAATTTAGCGGCTTTTCGTTTTTCGCACATGTTTAAGCAATCTTCATCAAACCACGCTTTGTTATTCTTATTTTCCTTTTTTCCCAGACACGAGTTACCGACCGCTTTAATATTATCCCTGATCTCTACCCATAACTTGTCAATATCCTCGTGTTCCTCGTCAGGAAGCTCTAAAGCTTCAAACCTATTCTTAACATCTAGCTCGAATTGGTTTCTAATTGATGGATTTTTTAATTTTTCCAAATTAAAATTCTCAAAATCGAAACGGTTTTCTTTTCTCTTTTTTATATTAAGTATTTGTCAAAGTTTCGCGATTACTAATTCATGATCCGACCCACATTCTGCTCCGCGATAAGACCGTACATTAATTATACTGCTTTGCTAGCTATGTTGTATCAAGACATGGTCGATTTGATTTCGTGTTTGCGAATCCGGTGATGTCGATGTATATTTATGAATACCCTTATGTTTAAACGTCGTACTTTTAATTATCAGGTTTTTCGAGATGGCAAAGTTTATCAGACGGATCCCATTATCATTACTATATTCGTGCAAGCATTCTTTACCAATCGTCGGAATATAAACTTCTTCCCTTCCTACCTTTGCGTTCGCGTCACCTATAATTATTTTCATGTAGTTTCGCGGTAGTTTATCATAAACCCATTCGAGTTTATCGTAAAATTCACTTTTGACTTCAACTCGTCTTTCGTCACTGTCTTCAGTCGGACAATGTATGTTTATTAATGCGATTTTAAACCAACGTCCCTGAAATGTAGCTACCGAAATTCTATCACTAAAAAATTGTACGTCCCTCAATGCGGATAGTAATCTACTCCTAATTAGAAACCCGGTACCCAAACAATGATTCCCGCTTCCTCCGTACCAAATAGTGTACTTTCCTTCCCTCATTGAGACCTCCCCTGGCCAGCGAACCTCTTGCAGAGCCACGACATCCAAATTGTACCCATTCACCTCATTCGCGACCGATTTTAGTCCCCCTGCTGTGTTTAAACTCCTTACGCTCCACGTACCAATATTTAAATCCCTATATTTCAACTTGCGCCATGAATCCCCTAAAGCAGTCCCCACCCGGAGACCCGAACGGGGGACTAGTTTACTTCCGGATAATGAGCGTTTTACCTTAGGGAGATCCATGACTATTTGTGGTGTTTGGTGAACTAAAGATATGGGAGTAGGGCGTTCAATCCTACGTCACACCCTCCAGCAAGTCTGGTGGGCCCCTACCTCCAGCAAGTCTGGAGGTCCCCTCCCTCCAGTAAGTCTGGAGGGCCCCTCTCATTGTTGGTCAGCGAGTCCATCGGACTTAGCCGGGAGGAACTTCCAAGGAATTTCCACTGACCATCCCCACATCCGCCACCCGTGGGACGCTCCCTATACGCGGTAATGAGCCCGCGCGAGGTGCATTTTATAGTAACAACCTAATATTCGTCAACGAATCATAATTGATAATTCAGGCAAACACTCAATTGTAAGCGCTGTCTAGTGTATCATGGGAAAACTTAGCAATCTTTAATTTGTGATGATCGTTACCCGATTGTAGTTTATTGTCGACAGTATGGATCTATCGATAATATTATCGACTATCCGACCATCCTTACTTTAATGTAGTGTTTTTTTTTTTGTTGTTGTTATAAAACTAGAATTTCTTAAAATAACATGCATAGCATTGTTATAGTTCTCTGAAAAATAGGTTTATGAAACTTAAGCACAACTTGAATGACTTGTATTTAGTGAAAGCTACTGAAAAACACATTGAACGATCTGTTACCAGAAACGCAAACCCTTATAAAAGCTAATGAACTTGTTGAAATACTAACAACCAACGTGTCACTGTTAATCAAATTGTCAGAAATATGTTTTTGTCTTTGGACTAGTTTTGATTTCTAATAAAAAAAGTCCATGTGACAGATTGTAATAATTCTGAATAAATAAGTATAGAAAAAAAATAAATAAAAAAGTCCGACTTGGTCAATCGAGTTGTTGGAACAGAAAATATGGTAGTATTGGTTCATAGATAATCCGTTGGTAACTATTTTAATCTATTAAAACTCGATGGAGGCATAAAAATTAAACTAGAATATATGCTACCTTCTTGCTTTTTTTCTTGAGATTTTCGATTTCGTCCTAAATCCCGACTGTCCATTAATTTTATAACGAACTAGATACTTCAGAATTGTTGTGTGAACAGCACAAACAAATTCAGGTGAGATGGATAAAAATCTGTCATATGATTTGTTATTTATTTCATTAATTATAATCTATCTTAATAAATAATGCGGTAGAATTTTGCAGTATATATCCCTCAATTAATGATGGATTTCGATGAATGACGTATAGGTATCAAACGAAAGGAAATTTCACGAAGTGGCGAATCACCGTTGCATTCCCCCGATATTTCGGTTAAAAAAAAGTTATGAAGGAACAGAAACTTTATTTACCAATAACTCAAAAAATATGCATTTTTGTTTTTATCTTACTCATAATTATTTGAAAGATTACTAAATTCTCTACGAAACAAAAAATAAATAAATCAATAAAATTAAAAAAAATTATGGAATCGAACCATTATTAGCGAAGATAGTCGCCTAGTTTTGGTTTATTATTATAAATGAACTAATGTGATGTGAAAAAAAAAAAAATAATTTCCTCTATCTTATAATACATTGGGGTTAACTTATTTCTATGTTATTTTGTCTATTGTTTACTGACCAATATACTATTATTCAAATGGGTCAACTAGTTAAAATTAAATTGAAAATATATCTACGGTATACAATGGAAACAGCACGCCGTATGTAATATCACATATTGGAATATAGAATGAGACATAAAAAATAATTATTTTCAAATAGAAATGGATAAAAACCATCACGACTAGGACGGTTTGGTATAACTAAAAATTAAGGCAAGGTATTCGGAGCAATTCAGGCATAAATAAGAACCAAGCTAATTACACCTGAACCTGGAACCAAGTGGCATTGTTTTACTTTTATTTATTTACTAAAAATTTAATGTTTTGCCAAATAAGATTCAAGCTATTATTTTTACGAAAAATGCTCATTATGTCTTTTTGACCATCAAATTTTGCTCTTTTCATTATTAAAAATGGGTAAAGTAAATCTGAGTTTACATTGTGTATAAACTCAGATGAGTTTATATTTAAAATACATGAAATTCAAGCTAACTTATAAACATCTGGTGCGGTGTGGACTAACGTATACACATCTTTCATTTACCTTCCTATTTTGAGTAGAAATAGGTACAGGGATGTGAAATTAAAAATTATCAATGGTATTATATATTAATTTAATGCAATTACTATATGTTTTTTTACCAGACTAATTCTACCAGACAGCCACGAATTTTCGTTTTTTGTTAAACAAGAGTGTCAGTGTTGAAGGAGGCCTCATTTATTTATAGTTCATTGTGGGTATAATAGTTATTTATTCAATTATAAGCATGTACACAAATTTTCATATTGCCGTTTTATATAATTAAATATTAATTAATACCAGAGCCAGGAATTTATAAAACCGCACATGTAATAGACAGTTTTCAATTCATTAACATGAAATAAGCTTTATACGTCTATGAGAGATTGCAAATACGATTAGATTCGGGCTGTTTGTTTGTTTCAGCTGGGAGTTTATTTCAGAGAGCTTTCCTTATTACTTATCTTTAGGAGATAGGTTTGAATTTTTAATTTATTCATCTATAGTTAGCAATTCCTTGTTGAAAACTGTGGATTTTTTTTAATTATATAAAAAAATATATCCACCCTAAAACCTGAGTGTCTATTACGGGTGCAAAATACGCTGCCAGAATTTCCTAAGTTATCATGAATAATAAACTAATTGAAAAAACGCGAAAGTATTAAAAGACTAAATTTGTTGTCAATTAAACCCATTTGCAAACATCCACCTTCCCTTAACCCATACAGTCCGGACTAGTTTCAAAAATGTTGAAACTCATAACATTAACACCCTGTTACGTAACAAACAAAACCCCACATACCAATAAGAACCTACACTTACAAATGTAAGATCAAAGCATCGATGATTTACCAACGATTTTGTACAAATTTAAATGGGCATACCAACATACTAATAAGAAATATGGCTACAGCCAGTGTTACCGCGCGCTCTGTGACAAAACCTCGTACTGAAGCCTCGTACATCCTCGTACGCCTGCTCATTCATAACTTGCACTGTTATAATGCCAGTGTTATTGTTTTTTTTTATAATAAAATTAGATCAGAATTTTTTATTTTTACCTCCATTCATATATTTTAAAGCCTTTTCACATTACTTTTTTTTAAGTTAATTGGTCAAGCAGTAAAATTAGCTTAATAATATAAATAATATAATATATATAAAAAAGTTTATATATTTTTATAAACTACTGAAAACGTTATATACAAATTAAAATAGCTAAATAAACTTCTTAAAGTACTCTTCATAAGTATTCATTAGTAGATCCAAGATTTAATTTGGGGGAAAGACTAATTTTTTTTCTTTTTTCTAAAAACAAAACAACTGCTTTTATGAAAGGATGTTAGCAGTTCTGGAAGACCAATAAAAATTAATTATTGGGGCATTAATGCTTTTAGAGAAATACATTATAATATAAAAAATTAATAGATTGTGATTGTTTCAGTATTTAGCTTACAATTAGATAAATGTGGGCACAAAATAAATGTGGACCACTGAAAAAATACTTTTTTTTTTCATTATTTGAGATGGGTTCATTATGAATACTAATTAATTTTTCAATTAATTACTTTACTCGATTAAAAATCGAAAATAATTTTTTTTTTAAATTACGCTAATAATTTTTTTAAAAATTTAATTTATCTAGAATATATTTACAATTGCAGTTTTATGAAGGAAATAATAATTACGAAGGAAATAATGGATATACTTTCTCGTATTTTATTTTATGCTCGATAAAAAATTTCTGTTTAATTTTCTATTACAGCATATTTTAAAAAATATATATTTATAAAAAAAAGTTTTATGAAGGAAATAATGGATATGGTTTCTTATATTTTATTTTATACTGAATAAAATCTAATATTTTTTTTTTAATTTTATTTTCTAGAAAATTAAAAAAAAAACATATATATACAATCACGGTTTTATGAAGGAAATAACAATCATACTCTAATTAAAGAAGATATAATTGCAATTTATGTGTCTAGAAAGCAACAGAAGTTCAGTATTTCATATCAATATAAAAATAATACAATCAAAATAATCGTAAAACAATTCTAAACTTCATAATTGGTAATTGGTTGACTGTCGTGGATAATGAAGAGAAGAATAGTTGGGGTGCTCAGTCAAAAAAGGAAGGCAAAAAATAAATTATAATATTTATTTTTTACATATGCCGACGTTTCGACCTGAAGTTCAGGCCATCATCAGGGCTTTCTCCTTAAGTGTCAAGGGGAGAATGGGAGTACTTTAAAAGGGGAGTACTTTAATTCTAAACTTCATTCATAAAAATATAACCTTGCATTGCATACGTCAGCAAAACTTATGTACGAGGTACGAGGCTGATCTATCTTCGTACCTCGTACATTACGTCATAACCTCGTACAAATACGAGGATCCTCGTACAAACGGCAACACTGGCTACAGCTGATATGCCCCTGAATACGAGATTTAAATGGCACTGGATAAGGTAATTGTATCAATTCAGGAAAAAAAAAGCTGGGGGGGGCCTTCTCCATGCCTGCTTATCATTATTTCTATCATATTAGAAATATTAGTTAATAACTTAAGTTGTGATTCACATTAATGTAGACAAGTTCTCTTGAAGTGTCTATTACCGGTACATTTACCTCATTTTCGTAAAATATCGCACATCCTTTATCTATAATATAACATATTACGGCCTTGTTACGTCTGGAAGCCAGCCTGAACTTTAGGTCAAGCCAAGGAGCGCTCTGGTTTTAATCTCTGGTTTTCAATCACACCTTACCAGCCCGTTCTTCTCCTTTCATTAAACTATCAAAATTCTTTCATAGTTAATATTTAACCATTTTTATTACTAGTTTAATGGGTATATTTAATTATTTCAAATTAACAAAATAAAAGATACTTTAGAAGAAGAAAATTTGGCATTTAACATCAGTCAGACAATTTGAATGAAGACTACTTAATTTCGCATTAATATAATATAATTCAACCGAAACAGTTAAAGCTATTTGTTCCATACTATGATCACAAGTAATTTCTTTTATCCATCTTCTTCAAGCTCATTAGAATATATCATTCTAACAATGATATTTTTTTTTTTTTTGGCGGGAGAAGAAGAGAGATGGATTATTAAAATACAAATATTCTATAATATTTCATTGCGTTTTATAAATATACATCATCGGTGACAACTTACCTGATTTAAACTTTTTATCAGGGCTCGTCACGGTTTTGAAGTACGGCGACGACCCCCCACTATCAAATGGCTCAGGTGGTTCGGTCACCATAGTGCTTCTTAAAATGTTGCTGTATTCCGGTCTCGCTTCAAGTAGAGGGAGCTTATACCTCGCAAGATTTTGCTGAAAGTGTGTATACATAAAAATAAAAATCCTGAAATTATTTAAAATTTACTTTGTCAGAGTACAGTGCATTTATGTGAGTGCTCCCTTAAGAGTCGGGATCGTTTCGATCATCTTGAAAGTCTATCACAATCTGCCGATAATGACATAAACGCTAGGACAACCGATAAAATCATAAATTTGTATATTTGTGTTTGAAACAATATTGAGGAATTAGCAGTATTTATAGACTTATTCACGTTAAAATTACTCCATGCAAGTAAATTATTTTACTTCTACCCATATTTTCCATTTTCGGTGTCATCAATTATTATACTCTCAAATACAAGGCCATATTATCACTAATTGTTTCTATCTACTTTACTATTCTTATTTATTCTACTCAAGTGGTTGGCCAAAAGTGGGCAGGAGAGGCTCGTGGCTTAAGCCGCTTAGTTCTTATCACATCTCTGTTTTTACAACTCACCGCAAGGCGGCGTTTGGATACAAAATTACATCCACCAAACAAAATTAATACTCAATATCAATATCATGAAGTAGAAATATCGGTGCTACTGTCAGTCCAGTTTAATAGGTGGTACAAGATCTCATGATCACACTATCAATGGAATCCTGAGAATGGCCGAGTGGCCCCGAAAGTAGACGGAAGTGACCGAAATCGTTTGGTAAATCCCCGTCCTCAACTGAAATGGACCCGCTGGGGGTTTGTTTGTCCATTAGAGCGAACTGGAGTCGAAATCAGTGATGTAATTAAGATTAATTGACGACCCAATTTCAACTTAAAAGGAACTGTTGGGAATTTGCCAAAATCGTAAATCACAATCTCATTAAAGAATGGTTACATTCCGATCACGTCAATCTTCGGCTATTGTCGGAATCCCACTTATAGCGTGATCATGAGATCTTGGCTCACTTATCGAAGTGGAGTGACACTTGTATAGTAGTACTGGAATATCATTCCTGAAATCAAAAGCAATATATACAAAAGTGTTCTATTCAGTATTATGACACTTGGAGTAGAAACCTGAACTATAAAGAGCGAACTTAAGAAGAAACTCTTGGAAACTTAAATGGATTTCTGGTATGAATGTCCATGGATAAAATAAAATAAAATAAAATAAATGGATAAATATAAAATCAGAGAAAAGAGATAAAAAAAAGAAAAAAAAGAAACAGTTCTTGAAAAGATCGAAAAAATAACATAGATATTTAACAAGAATTTCTGAAGAGATGTTGCCAAGAGAGGTTTGCTTTTGAAAAATTGGTGAAGATGAAGATGAGGTCGACCCAGAAAATCGTGGAATAAGCGAATAGAAGATATTATGATGGGATATGGCCTGCCACAAGAATACACTATAGATAAAAAAATACGGAAGGAAGATATAGAATCGTATAGGTTAAGCCAATCTATTATTATATAAAAATGTCCTAAGTAAAAAAAAAATTCAAAAAATGGGTCTACCATCACAACTTAGACTTATCTTATATGTACAGTCTTTCCATGAAAACCTAAAAAGCCGGTGGTACCTCCAACTTGTGTTTTTTTAATTACAAGACGCATTTGTTTTTTTTATTAAAACAAATTAAAAAAACACTGACATGAGGATTTTCATTGAAGTCAATCAGTAGCGGAACCAGGCATTAGCCCGAAAGCTCTTTTTTCATATATAAAACGATAATTACTTTGGAAAAAAAAGAAAGATACTAACTACCTATATGAAAATAGTGTTTAAGTGATTATTGAAATCCTATTAAATGTAATTAGACGAACTTTAATACTTTAAGAGATAATGTTTTAATATTTTTTACCATAAAACATGGTTACATTTTACCATTATGGGAATGTTTCAGCCTGAAAGAACCCCCCCTCCCCCTCCTCCCTCACGTAGATTCCTCTGTGAAGTCAATAATAAGAATTGGTAATGGCTCTTGTACTGGCCGAAACATTATTTTCAGAATTGTAAAATAAATAAATAAAAATTAATATGTAATAACAAATTATGTCAATACTCCATGCAATATCATAGAATAGGAATTATCAATGATCAAATGGCTTTGTACTTCAGAACATAATAAATTATTGATGAATGCATAGAAATAATTATGATTTTATCAATTGATTTACTCAAGGAGGAAACTCTTATGTATATTTTATACCTCAAATTTCGACTGATAAAAATACATGTATCAAATTTTGCTTACAGCTTTTTCATCAACGCTTGGATTATATTGGTCATTATTCGCTGCGACTTCGGAATAAATGGCATTAAGAGCCTTTTTCTTGTTTCGAGTCTGTTTTTCAAACTCCATGAGACCTTCTTCTGCACCAATAGTAAATGTTTTACCCAAAGCAGACCTCGATCTTGGGAGAAAACCTTTATAAAAAGAAACGTTATCCTTACTTTCATTTATTCAATAATATCTTCTATAACGTAATTTGACAACTTTTCGTACCTGTGTATCCAGGAGTAATTGGATGCTTGTATATTGAATTACAGTTGTAATTCCTAAGTTGAATAGCATTACGATTGTTTTCATCTTTTCTGACGATCTGATCGTTAAAAGGGAGAGTTATGCAAAAGTTATTTTCAATTAATATATGAGATAAAATTAATTATTGGTACCTGAAAGTCAGTTAACGTTCGATCGGAAAGAGCGAGCTGGTAACTTTTATGTATTGTTGGATCGAGGAGTATCTTGTGAGAAAGAGATCCATAGGTCTCTCCGCATCGGTATATGTATTGTGGGCAGTATCCAGTGTACCTCAAATATATAAATCAATCAGGATGTGTATTCTTTAAGTATTTTAACTTACTAAGTACTTGGTCATAATTAAGAATAAATTAACTAAAAATTCATGGGCGTTGTCTAGTCTCAATTATTGGATGAGGGAGGAGGGAGCCGCTAATATATAATGATACTTCTCTTAGCCGACACTTCTCTGTAGCTAACAATTTCTATGAACCCTCATCAAATTTTAAACGACTTTATTTCCGATTTGCGACATTTTTGCCCAGACGCAATAAATAAAAGCATTTTTTTTTTTTCTGTTGGCATTATAGACCTTGTTGATGTTTTGCCACCTTAAAAAACCTGCTTCATCTCTGCCTCTCTTGGACTATTTCTTTATAGTTATCTGCACGAAGCTCTGTTGCATCTATGTTGATTCTATCTGTCCATCTGCTTTTTGGCCTTCTACGTTGTCTTTTGCTTTCTATTGAGGCATTCCTTGCTACGTAGAGGCTTCCAGATGGATTGCTAAGAATTACATGCCCCGCCCATCATAACCTGCGTATCTTCATATCATGCAGTATTTATTGACCAGTTTCTGTAAGACGTTGTTTATTGGTCTTTCTTCTCCATGTGATATTACTCTGATCCCAGATAACTTGCTTTTCTCTGGAATCTTTCAATACTTTTTTTCTAGGATGCTGGTTAGAGTCCAGATCTCACAACCCTATATTATAACTGACTTTATCATAGCATTAATAAATCCATACTGGATATTTTTGATACTTTTTAGAATTTACTTTGGAATTTAAGACAACCAAGCTGAAACGGAAATATCAACAACTCTTATATGGTGCTTTCCGTACCAAAAGATGTATTGAGGATAGTTCAAAATCATCAAAATCGTTTTTATTTTTATCATATACATCATGGACTTCAACCCGTACGGGTTAGTCACGTTTAATCAGCTTTCTCAGCTCTAGTCAAGCGGTTTAGTTAAACCTCATTAACAAGACACAGGATATTGACTATTGAGACTTAATAAATTGTCTTACGTATGAGAAGAATTTTTTCAAAATCAATTGAGAAAATTTCAGAGATATCTGAAAATATTAAATAAGAATATTTAAAGGAAGAGGGAAGAAAAAGAGGTTTTCGAAATATAATAATTTTGATTTCGCTTGCTCAAAACGGATAAATAAATCCCCAATGGGTCCTTTTCAGTTGAGGTCGAGACCTTAAAATACGTTTCGGTCAGTTCCGTCTACTTTCGGACACAATCGGCAGTGTTCAAGATACGATTTAAGGTATGATCATAAGATCTTATACCAACCATCAGATTGGAGTGACATTAACAAAGTAGTAATATGGGTCTTTCGCAGATAAGCACCGCCAGTTATTTTTTTAATAGTAATCTGCTATTTTGCGTGATCAAATAAAAACACATTATATGGAAAGCTTTAATTATAATTAACCTAATTCAATTTTTTCTTATTTAAAGAAAGGTTGTACAGATGGCCAAAACTGTTTGATATATTTAGTAATATTGTTTAAAAAAAAATCTCATCCCCATCAAGGTCACAAAGTCCATCATATTTCTAGCTATGCCACATTCCTTCCTGTTTCTTATCTTTGCAGCAGCCCACATTGACTCTAAACGTTGAGTGTGAGCTCCAATACAAGAAAATATGAAATTCTCTTAATGGTTCACTGTTAAGTGTTTGTAGTGCATTTCTGTTATCTTGTAGATTCTGATATGAACTCCATAAATCAGGCTTAATAGCCTGGAAGAATTGTTTCTTTGATACATTCCTAGAGAATTTCTGAGGACCCGTTTGGAATGGCGTACAGGAAGCACTCCTTCGTCTTGCGACATACGCCTCCAAACATCTCTTGTTTGGGAAATATCCTCCCAAAACACAATCCACTACAATATATTCTGCCACATTCCTTAGTACTTTGTAGTAATGTACTCCTCACACCAGGAATATATAAATAATATGGAAGTGGTAGAAAGGTTTTGTATGCTCTAACCGTGTATTGGAGATTATTAATCATTTCTACACGAACGAGCATAACACTTCCACCTATCATAAGCACCATTTGTTTCTACGAGCTTCATTAGATGTCCTCTATTGCAGAAGCGGCCCTTATGGATAATTCCAGCTTCCTAATAAAACTTTAAGGTTTTCCTCTCGTTTTTATTCAAATTGAAGTATAACCTAAATGAATTCATTTTGCAAACTAAATGGATCTGTTGACAGGTGTTTATAGAATAAAAGAATAACAACATTGATTCAAATATAACTGATACTTTTCTATAACAGATACTTTTCCTGTTTAAAAATAACTAGAGGGGCTTATCTGCAAAAGATCCCTGAATATAAACCAATCTTCCAGTAAAAAAACAAATTTTATTTTGTTCAAATACATTAGACTCACCCTGGTATGTAATGGGGCTCCGGAGTTTCGAGGTCTTTCATTTCTAATTTTGTCAAAGAACTTTTTAAAATTTTCGTTTTTTACTTTTTAATTTTGCTTCATGATTTTCCTATTTTTTTCTTTTTTTGGTTTTTAAAGCTAAAACTGTGTTTTATAGATACATATTTATAAATTTAGCTTCATTTGTACACCTGTATTTTACTGTTGATTTGTTTAAAAAAAAAAAAAAAGATGCTTCATTGTTAATAAATGTATGTATAACACTATATTGTTGTTTATTATATTTTTTGTCTGACTCGTTATTGTTTGGAATTATATTTCTAAAAACAAACACTTCTATTTTTTTTTTTTTTATTGATATATTATATATTATCTTCAATAGATACAGACTGCTTTGACTGCCCAATCCGGCATTTCTATTCCATCTAAAGAAGAATAACTTGTTCAAGAGTAGTGCTCACCTTTGGTAACAAATAAAAAATATGATGATACATGAATAAACCCTTACATAAGTATGAAATTTAGATTCATATATGTTGCTCTTGTTTTGTTTTTTTAACCCTGGCCGGAATAAAAAACAAAAAATATTACCCCTTATATGTTGCAATTATTAATATAATTAATTATATAATAAAAATTATATTTTATAAACTAATATAGTATAATAATATTAATTAGAGCACTTGGAAGACCAAGAAGCAGATCGAATCTACAAAGATTCAGTGGAGCTGTAAGCAGATGACTGGAAGGAAATAGCACAAGACATGTAGAGATGGAGAAGACTAGTTAAGGGGCAAAACATCATCAAGGTCTGTAATCTGAAATAAAAATAAACACACACACACACACACACACACACACATATATACATATATTTGTTGTATACTTTTTTGAAAAATATACATTTCTTATCATCCATGTCTATATCTAATTATGAGATAAACTTTTTTTCATATATATATATATATATATATATATATATATATATATATATATATATATATATATATATAAAATGTATTTATGTATTTATGTATTTATATGTCCCACTCTACTTTTTATTGTACGTTTAGGCTGCTTTGGCGCAGGTGTTAATTATATTTAAATTTATTCTTAACATCCCTTGGCTTTAGCATGGAGATTTGGTTGGTTAGTTTCAAAATTAAAAATTCCGACAGTTGCACTGGTCATATGGCTAGAACAATTAGCTATCAGTGTATGTTAATAATTCCTCTTTGCATACAGATGGATGATGCCATGTGGCACGCGTCTGGCACGGTTTCGTTCCAAGCCAGCGCTGGTACCGCACCGATTATATCTGGCGTATACCATTTGCTATGTTGGAATTAACTTAATTAGAAAGTATAATAGGAACATTAAAATATATTAAATATATTGAATGAATATATTTATATATATATATATATATATATATATATATATATATATATATATATATATATATATATATGACTTTCAAGTGCCCGAAAAGTTGTAAATTATTCACATTTATCAAAAAGAAAATTAATTGTATTTATAAACTGTATTAAATAAGTTAAATAGCATTGTGGGCTTTAAATAAAATATTTTTTTTCCTGTTTTAGTCTTTTTATGATCGCCACTCCGGACCATCTCCTTCCTATATAATATACAATGATCAGCCATCAAGTATTCAGCTAAATAATATACGTAATAGTTCAACATATTATTTTTAAAACAACAGCTAGACTGTTCACATACAATACAGACCATTTTGAGATATTTTTTTTTTTTTTGTTCTTCCCTACATCGCCTTTTAGGCTATACGGGATTTACCCGGGCCGGGGGGTAAGAGCGGGGAATTCAAAATCCCTTCGGCACCGGGACGCGAAACTTGTAGTTTTTAATCTTCACAAGTCTGCTATCCGGTTGCCAGGCAACTCGCGCTGCTGTGCACACGCTTTAGCCCATTCGGCCACGCCACTCCCCTCCTCATTTTGTGATATTTGGTTATATAGAACAAGGTTACATAAAAACGTGTTTTTTTCGTTTAAAACTCGAATACCTCAATTTCCACGATCGCAATAGTTTCCCATACTAAATACCGTAATAAGATGGGATAATGTTGGAACAGCGGGTAAAATTTAGTTTGTGGGGATTACTGTGTTGGTTCAGTCTGCATGGGCAGCGCATTTACTGCGCTGCTACATTGCGGCACACTACTCATGGAAACAAGAATTTTGAAAAAAGCAATGGAAATAAATAAAACCTAACTGCACGACGAGTGTAGTGAACTATGGTTTTCAAACTGCCGCAAGATAGTAGCGAAGTACATGCCTACACAAAAAACTTTTTTAAGACTGAACCAACACAGTGTATACACCACGGAATCACCACAAACGAAATTTTACCAGCTGTCCCAAAGCCACCCCATCTTACGCTATTTCATATGTAGGTAAGTTTATTTTTTTTTTTCTCATCCTCCATTTTATTTTTCAGCAATTACAATAGTACATTGTAAAACGAGTACATGGAATGTATACATATATACCTTGTTGCTTTATCCTGACACTGCCAGACACAGGCAATTTAAGGAAAGGCAATTTATAGACTGTAGGGCTGGAGGATCCCAACCTTCGGCGAGCACGTCCACCAAAGGGAGTTGGCCTTGTCACTTTCCAGGTCTGGTACTTATTCCAGGTAAGTGTAAATAATAATGACGATATAATTTTAAATTGAAGTGAAGAAAGAATTGCCAATGACCCTATCGAATAGAGGCAAATTCGGAAAGTAATTTTAAATATTACTTAAAGCTATATAAAACAGTGCTGGATAAGACATTTTAATTAACAGCTAAAAAGTTGTTCGGATCATCACACAGGAATGTTATGGAGAGTTTAATTCTGTATTAAGATGAAGATCTGGTATGCGTTCTATTTGGAACATAATACTACTCAATGTCAGTAGCGTTGAGAAACGTCCTACGCTGAGTAGCTAATAGACATGGGCGACCGCAGGGGCCAAACTGGGTCCCTAATCAACTCATGCCGAGCATAACAATGACTACCAACAAACCGTGAATTATGTTAATCTCGTCATAGCCTTCGTTAGAGTATGGTGGTAGGCTCATGTCGTTTTGATATTAGGACACTTCATGATGCTTTCGACGTAGAAATGCACACATTTGATGTGCGAAAACAACAAAAAAAAAAAACAAGAAGAAACAAATCCGGCACTAAGATTTTTTTAAGAGGGTAGAACTTATTTTTTTAGAATCCATTACCCTCCTCTTAAATATTTTCTTAACAGTATTTTATCATACAACATTAACAAATTTTATTAACTAAATTAAGAAATCTTCCTAAATCTTCCCCTCTGATTCCAATCCTATAAAAGAAATGAAAAATTTGTTGTTAAAGAAAAAAATCGTTCTTTCAGATAAATTAGCATAAAATGAAGTTTAAACTGATTAAAAAGTTTCATCTTTTCAACATTAAATAATTCGATGAAACATTCTAAAGAGTTTTAATAGGATTTCAACATCTTAATGATTTTCTTCTACTCTGTTTAGCGAAATCTCTTCTTCCAAACGTCTAGTTATTATTTAGTTTAGTTAATTAATGCTCCTTTAAAAATATCTAAATAAAACCAATATATTCTTTTAAAACGATTCAATATTTTACAATTGGTTTTCGTTAAAAAACATTATCAATATACTAAAGTTTAAAGGTAAGAATTTTACAGAATTGGCTAAAGCATAAATAAGACGTGCTTTATTTATTTTTGTTTTATATAGGAGAATGGAGAGAGAGAAAGAGATACATTGAAATAAATCGATTTTTGCTCCTGCTAAATATTAAACATCAAATACAAAGCATCGAATTGCAAAATTTGTGATTATTAGATCATCCGACTTAAAAATCATATTTTCTAGAAGAGTGAAGTTATCATAATTGTAGTCTGATGATCTGTTTCTTTTAAAATCTGTCATAAATGCTATATTTATTTATATGTACATATTCACAGAAAAATAGAAAAACGTGTGTATAAGAATATAACCTTTACCTCGGATAGTGTATAAATGGTAAAAAAAAGAAACAAATGGCTTCGTGAACAAAATAATAAGACGAAAATTGTTTCTCGATTTAATTTGAAAAATGTATTTTTTCTACTTGTGCCCTTTTCTGTTGGAGTTAGGATATGAAAGCAGTGCCGGGCTTAGTCATTTGGTGCTCTCGGGAAATAAAGTCCCTCCTTCCAAAAAAATTTTAATTTATTTTTAGCTGTTTTATGTTGAGCAATATTTGAATTGAATTCCATTCAATATGTTTCTAATTTAGTTCCTTTATTAATAAGCTAAATGAACTATTATTTTACGGTCTATAATTATTTTTTTTATTTCCAAGTGGCGGCACTACACCAGCCTAGCATATGGTCGTCCTTAGGTCTGCACTGTATGATAGACTTTTGGATTCTTTCCCGAGCAAGCATAAATTAGATTTGCTTTAGCTACATCGGTTGTACCACCCTTTACCACATCCTCTCCCACCCCGTACAGATTTTTTATATCCAGAATTTAAATAGGTTTTGGGGAACTATTCATAACTGATCTACTAGAGCCTGGAATAAGTTATTCATCCCGTTAATTGATTAAAATATTCTAAAAATCATTAACTCCAGGAATCGAATGCCTGCTCGTGATGAGGGGCTGTATTATATCCTCGTGGCTGTTGTGTCTGCTCCTGAGATTCAGTTGTGCCTGGTCCAGAGTTCCTAATTATACTGGATTGTCTGCCTGCTAGGAACAAACTTATCAAAATGTCGCCAGCATTCAATGAGGACAGGCATTTCACAAATACCAGATCTCTGAAGCCGAGTAATAAAAAAAAAATATATCTAAACTTACAATTTAAATAGTAAAATACTTTGTATTTTGTTTTGTATGTATTTGTATTTCTAGATGTCAGTTACTCTTATGCGAAATCAACAGTTTAACATTACATTCGTTCGAAATTTAGACTTTAATTGGGGTGGATAAATAGTTGATGTTTGAGAATAGACAAAAAGAGGCTTTGCGAATAGAAATACAAGAATTCTAAAAAAAGAAGATAAGAAGGATTTATCAAAGGAAGTCGTTGTATACAATGATATATTTCTAACCAAAAAACAAAGGAGATAACTAAACTATAACATTTATAATTTTGCTTTCATTTGCACTGTTTTTAAAAAGAAGAGAACAATAAATTTTCATGGAGGAGAGTGGGCTATTAGGATGGGCACCCCTGCACAGTCAAG